GACAAGGATGCTCACTTGCTGACTTGGGATCAGATGCGACTGAAAAAACAACTTCTCTTCCCCTTGAGAATGCCAGGGCCCCAAAAGTAGGCCACTTAAAACTGTCAAAATGACCGAGTTCTGTAGGCATCAGCTGCATAAGCTAGTGGGCTTTATCAACTCAAATACAGTGTTACATTACTCTCTACCCTAAACACTTGACTGGGAATAAGGTAGAAACCCAATATTCATGTTCTGCCATTCCTCTTCTGGTGTACGTGGTTGATTAGCATCTTCCTGCACGCTCCCAAGTTTTGTTAGAAATCTATTTTATGTTTTTTACTTAGGGTCTGGTTGCCTGAGCAGGCTACTCGGAAAATACCATAGCTAAGTGATTTTGTATCTCATTGAAGCAGGAAATTTCCATTCTTATCTAGATTACGGCTATTTAGGAAAAAAGTTCATACACATTCCAAGTACTCTTGGAAAGCTTTAGTATCTGTCAGTCAACCTAAATGCACATGAAGGAGCAGTACTGAAAATGATTCAGCTATGCCAGCCTTTGATGCTTCATAGATGCAAAACTTGATGCTTTATATGTGCAAACCAGACTTTTCAAATAGTGCTATCAATTCCATGCTTTCTGTTAGGTCTGCAGCTGTCTTATTTTCTCAGAACCACAACACACCTTTCTTTTGGCATTTCAGCTCATTATTTAATCACGTTAACTGGAAGTTAATCGAAACAAGTACTAGTTACGATTCATCATAAAAAGTCAAATATCAATTATCAAAAGATTATCAAATCTATGAAAATGGTATATTGGCCAAACTATCTGTAGAAGAATTCAGAAAATTACTTACAAGGGCAGAACAATACAGCAATACGGACTTTTTGTCCTGGATCAAGAAATCCAGTCTGCAGACTAAATTTAAAAATACCATCTTCTTTATTTTTGCCTGCATCATCACAATTCAATTTCCATGTCAACTGCTGCCTGGAGACATTCTTCAGGTCAAGCTTCTGTAAATATTTGCAAAGAAAGGACATGATGGAAAAGAGAAAGCAGCAAACGCCTTGATACTTTTCATATTGCTCTATCCTAAGCATTCTTTTTGCAATCAGATCAGAGTAAAAGCAAGAAAGCAATGAAGAACCCAGTTTATTATATCTGTAAGGTGAGAAGATGAGTATGTCTATCAGCACAGACTAGATGCTTTCCAGTCACTCACTACATTCACAAAGGGCAATACTTTCTTCCAAGAATTTATGCAAGGTAAATAGATCAAAGCATCACAGTGGGAGTGCTTAGCCAAACAGAAATGAGTTCTTCTGGATACAAATGAAGCATAGCAAGCACTAAACACATGGGTCATGACATCTAGACTTACAGATGGATATGTTGAAAAAGCAAGAGTTCAGAACAGGTTTTCAAAACCCATTCTTTCAATTCAATGAGACGACAGTGGAAATAAAAAAAAATTCCATTCCTTTATTTCAGAGTTGCTCTTTCAACTCCTAACACATCCAAACTTAGGAAAAGACCTTGACTTTGTATTATCATTGTTTTCTGAAGATACTTGAAAAAGCGTTTCAAGTGTTTTCATCATTGCCAAAAATATTTTTTTATAATTTCCAAACAAAGCCTTTGGGACTGAGAAACAAGAAATTATGTTATGGTATGTTTTACATTCATACAGCCAAATTCTTTATGTTCCAAAACAGAATGGCTGTGGTCAAATATCCTATTCAGTGCCTCCTTCCCATTAAGACCTAAATCATGACCAGGAATTTTTTTGGGAGAGTGCCAGTTGGTAGAGATCAGTACCATACAAGGTACTGGGACAGCAATTTAACTGTATGGACCACCATGGCACATTGATTGGATTCCTGCACTGTCACTGCCTGGTTTACTAGTGTAGGCAGAGGCAGAAAAACTTTGGAAGCAAGCTATTTCTTACACAACTCATGGTCAATTTCTCATGGTGCCCACACTTTCTCAAATATCAGAGTCAGGACAAGCCCAGTTTTGAGTTTTGGAAAAATTTCTAGTAATCAAAAGACAAACATAAAATCAAAAACTGAACAAAATGGCAATGAGAAAACTTATTTATATTTAAACCAGATATTTGGAATATGACTGAGTTTTTAGTTCCAAATCTGTCTTCTTTTCCCAGTTATTTTTGAGTAATTGAAAGCTATACCCAAGAATATCTATAACAACACTTGTGATTACATACCTGAGAATTCAGACTTTCACCGGCAATGTTGAAATATATGCCACTTGAATGTTGTGCAAATTTAAGTTCCATTGAGGAGAACTCCAATGGTGATTTAAGTACTATTGGAAAAAATAATCTAAGATGTTTATACACCATTATTTTGACAAAAATTTCCTCAAAGTCCATTCATAAAATCATTGTTTCTGCACATGTTTAGCAGAAAAGTTTCTCCCCTTGTTTTAAAGCTGTATTTTCTTTCTGTTGTTCCCATACTATATAGTTACTGTAATTTAACTTTCTGTCTTATAATGAACCTTTAGCCACATTAAAATTATTTAAATTTTGTATCTAGCAGACTTACAGCATCTCTTCTACACATAAAGATGCTATAAATAGAGAGCCACATGACCTTTATACTGCAGTTGAATGCATTTACATTTGTGATGGTAATCATCAGAAAAGACTTGAAAGATTTTATAAAAACCAGCATTTTTCTTAATTTCGTATAGCTGGAGAAAAAGAAACTGTCACAAAGGATGAAGTTTTAAGTAAGGATTTAGGAAAACAAAGGTATATGTTCCCACGGCCTCATTTTGCTTCTTGATTAAACACTGGAAATTAACCTAGCAAGCATAGAGTATCCGTTTATTAAAATCTGCAAGTTTGTTTCACACTCAGTGAGGAAATGTGTTGATCAATTCTCTTCCCCCCCTAAAAAGCCCAAAGGATTTCCTAATTACATATGTCACATTATGTAAATAACAATACTATCCGTATTTCTCTTAAGCACAGGCATATAAACTCTATAAACTAATATCTAGGGAACGTAATCTGCTGGAATGCTTCCACCAATATGCAACTATGTCACTCACAAAGTCCTCACCTCTCATAGAAACTGCCTGTACAAGGAAAACACAGCACAACTGAAAGTCTAGGAGGAAAAAGAAAGGAAATCATCCACCCACAAAAAAATGTGAGACTGATTTAAAAGGAAAAAAAAAAGTCAGCTCACATGAGGCTATTACATTGATAATATGTCCTCTTCCTCTGTGTCTAGCTGAGGTAGGGCTTGTGGTTTTTCCAGTTGAGTTTTCTGGTGTGGGTTGAGGGGTTTTTTTCCTCTTTCAGTGCTTTCTTACATAATAATAAGCAGTCTCCAAGGGAAAAGTCTTACAAGTATTTAATTAAGAGACCTGCTTTCCCTCCCAGGTGCTGAAACAGTCTACAGACTTTGTTTTTAAAAAAATTCAAAAAAAGTTCCATGATGGATTGAAAACATATTGACTACACTGAAGTTAAAAGACTGGGTTGACTGTTCCAAGATTTTCATGATTCTTTTCTCAAGGTGAACAATATGAGTATAAGCACCAGATATAAGCTGTTGATTTAAGTGCCAAATGCACTGTCCTGTGCAGTCTGAATCCCAGTCAACCACAAAAAATGTCACAGGGAAAAAAACTTTGAAGAAATTCTGTGTGGCAGAAGTACAAATTCGTGATAAAATTTATATAAGATTATCTTTTATTAGCGAGACTTACTGATTGTATTGATTTATTATTCCACAAAGAAAGGGAAATAAACATTTTATTTTTTCTTCAGGTTACATAAATCACTTCTGCACTAGAAATTTGTCACTTTGATTCATGATTTTTTACTTAGAGACGTGCCTTCTACTAATCTCATGTACATATGAACATTTATCTTTATTCTACGTGTTCTTAAACTAAATATATTTAGAAATGTTTAATATGAATTTACTTCCACCACAGGATCTAAAGAAGGTCTCTCCGATTTCTTTGGTATCTTAGAAGATCTCAAAAGTAAGACTTAAGTTAAAGCCTTACAGGGAAAAAAAAAGAAAAGAAACAAAAAAAACCCCAAACAGATAAAACCTAATAAATTGGAGTTGCTTTTACCCCACATTATGCCTTTAATTGGCCAAGCCTCCTTCAGTGCTCCCAAGATGTTTAAACATTACACAAACATCATTCCAGGAAGACACTCAGCACTTGAGTCTCATCACAAATAAACAGCAACTACATATTAAACACTGAGATGAGGAAACCTAGTGGATTCAAATATTCACAATGTGTAGGTCTACATGACTATAAGGATCAGACAGGAGACTAAAGAGAACCACAGATTATTTCTGAGAAAAGCAGAGAAGAATCATTTAAGATATCAATTTCTTGCTGCAGGCAAACAGCCTGTAACTTTGGCTATTAACAAATTCTGACAGGCCGAAAGAGTACAGTTCTGCACATAAAAGCAAACAGAAGCAAATGAACTAAATTACCACCAGTTGTCTCAGATGGGATCAGGGACAGACAGAGGCATTTTAAAGGAGTTTTAAATACAGCTAGAGCTCTTAGCTTTGACAGGGTAAGACAAAAAAAAAAAAAAAACACCAAAAAAAAAGGAGTATGAATGACATGCTACTTTTCTACACTTTGCAGATTAACTGCTGTAAATACTGGGGTCTGCATGATATGGTCTAGAAAGACTAGTGAATGAGTAGAAGCAAAAGTGAGGTTTGGTAAACTAATTTTTATATACTGCAAAGGGCTATATAAGAAAAAACATATTTTCCCACCGTGTCATAATTATGTATAGAAAGTTCAGCTTTACACATATTTAAATACAAATAAAAATTTGAAAATTTTGCAAGTTTCCAAGAAATTTACAAATTATACAATTATCAATCAAGTTTCAGTTAAGTAGTAATTCTCTGCAATACATGCAAAAACATCACTACAAATATAAGTATCCACCATTTGCTTAAGTCCCTAGTTTACCTACCAACTGCTTTAACTCTACAGAATGGAAGAGCCACAGTCACTGCCTGTGGCCGAGGAGCAACAATGTGCTTTACGGATCCAGCTGAAGTTGCAGATACAGGGCTTGGCTGTGTCAATGCGAAGTCAGCCTGAGGAGTATTAACTGGAAGAGTGAAGTCATATGCTGCCACCTAAGGGACAAAAATATCATTGTGGTTACTGTTCCAGAAATTGTAAGTACTTCTTGAACCATCTGAGCAGTATTACTATTTCAGAAGAACTATTGAAATTTAGGACCTGATCATTATATTAATAGGATAGTAGTTTATTAGCACCCAGTATCAGCCCTTACCTAGCATAAACAAAACAGGCACTGAGATCAAGGTGGAGCATGAGTTAAAATCGAGAAAGCTCAGGAAAAAAAAAATAATTCTTAAAACCTTTGTCATTGAACACCACTGAATTCCAGGAGTCCAAATTCCAGTGATTTTGATCCTAGCTTTATCTCTGCAACCACATCCCCAAATAAGTGGGATTTAAAAATTTAAAAGATAGCACTTTTATACAAAATCCTCTTTTTTTGAGAAACTGTGCACATGAGAGGGCAAATTTATTTCACAACACACTCTGAAGGAGGCATTTTTTGCCTCTCACTCTGCCTTTCCAAGGACTACCACACTGGAGCAGTATGTTCTCCAGACAAAAAGGTATGGATAACCCTAACAAAGGGAACAGAAGAAAAAAACAAAACTTCTGCACTGAACCAATCTTAGAGTCCTTCAAATAATGTTTTCACCTTGAAGGCCACTGAGTTCTCCAGAAAGGACTCTGGCCTATACAATCTGCATGCTGCTCAACATTTGCAGTAAAACCAGCTATATAAAGAAGTTATGAATCATTTAAAAGCTTTCAAAAACTACAGAAAATAGTGCGTCATGCTTCACTTTCACATATGTGGTAGTGAGCAGAATATATAAGTGACAGGAAAGAAATGTAAAAAAAAAAAAATTGTCCTAAGCCAGGACATGAGGCACATAGCCATCTGCAAGAGAATTAACACAGAGCTTAGATAATGAGAAGCAAGTATGCAGCACTTACAGCGTTTGGAGTTCCAGCAGGGTTTGTAACAATTACGAACTCCTGGTGAGCAAGATGTGTGCTGAGCCTTGTGGAACATTTTGCGTATTTGTGCTTAGCAAGAGGAAAGCACGGGATGAGGGGAATTTTTGCTAGTGAGATCACCACAGTTCCTTGATTTATATTGATATTTCAAATCTGATAACTATTAGATTTGATAACACAGAATTGGTTTTTCAAAATTAACATGGCGAATGCCATTTAAGATTTTTTTAGTAACTAATGCTCGAGGTGTGTCAGGCTGAGTAAAAATCTCCTGATTTGATTTACATATCCTTCTATTTTTAGTATCTCAAGTCACTTCATCAAGTTACATCTTCAAAAATATGCTCCTATGGCATAAAAATTTGTAATTAAAAATTAGACTGAAAAAGATCTTTTCTTCATAGTGTGAGAAGTTCAAAGTATGTGTGAAGCACATGATTTCATGTCACTAACAGTGGCTCCTCACAGTTTTAGAGGAACAACTATCTATCTTTTCTTACAGTAGAAAGTAATAAGCATTGCATTTCAAGGCTGTGAAATCTGTCAAAAAAAAATCTTTTAGAACTTTCTCCTAAAACATAAGAGATGTTTGATAGAATAGAGCTGAATATATGGTTATTTGGTAACCCTGGGAGCTATTAAAATAGATATGTAAGAGAGAACTGTAAAATGAACCAATACCCGAGAGAGTGAGAAAAAAAAACTTTACAGGACTCTATAGATCAAGCATCTTGTACAACAGTCACAACACAGACACAATCCAAGGATTCTGTCACACTCTTTGGCTGTACAAGAAGTTTGCTACATTTGGTACAGTGTACCCAGAACACAGCTTCAGAGGTGTAATATGCAAAATGCTGCATAAATAACCAACTTCTCCCAAGCATTATGGGTCACTGTAAGGAGAACAGAGAGAAGATGACTGAGAAGATGTTCTGAGATTGCTCCCAGCCTTGGCAGCTCCCTATAGCCAGCAGGTACTTCCGTACATGGGTAATTGTAACACTTGAAACACCATTGCCAAGAATTACAGTAAAAAAGTGAGCTAGAAAACCCTTTCCATCCCTAGCATGTATGACAGATATAACAATATAATGACAGTAAGTTTTTAAAGTCTAGTAAGATTAAAATGCTTAGTCTATAATAGATATCATTACATCATTGGCTATGCAAAAGAGTACAGTCTAGCACTGCAATTGTTCTTCATCAGTGCTGTTATGCTTACTATGTTTAGGTCAGACAACAAAAGGCAGAATCCCTTCATCCCTCTCCCAAAGAAGCTATTCAAAATTTGTTTTTCATCCCTGCTATCAGGAAAATTTGGTTTAGTCTTATTATGCATGAAGGGTTTTATTTGCTAAGAACTGGCAAATAAAACCAAATATGTGCAAGACACTCAATTCACTACGTGTAGGACAGGATGCTCACTGAAAATCTATATTTGCTTTGAAATACAATGGTGCAAATTCAGAGCCAACATAATTCATAGAAATGTATTTATATGAGAACAAGTCATAGACCTTTTGTTTCATTCACACATATCTTTGCCTCATTAACTGGACATTAACTAACCTGTACTACAAATGAAAAATTCTTTAAAAATTCTATATACATAGAAATCATATTGTAATTCGTAAATATACACACATACATACACACACATATTATTGAAACAGAATTAAAACTTAATTTCATTTTTTTAGGACTTCACTTTGCAAGTAAATCATTATTTTTCTTTTTATGCATATTTTAAGAAAAAGAATTTATGTTGCATTTTTAATCTTTAAAACTCCATAACAGAAAATTCTCTCTTGTAAGTTTATATACTCCAAAAAATTAATGACGATATTAAAAAACCAAAAATCTTTATACTATTACTGGACTTGCAGTTGCTTTTTAAATAATTTATGAATACTTTACAGTTATTTACCTATTCAGATATTTTTCTGAAGCTGCATTTAACTTCATAAACCAGAGAATACATGGAGGGGCAGGAAGCAAGCAGCCCAGAGAGAGTTCTTTCACAAACACTCAAGGTTGTTTGTATCATTAGAAGAAATATTTTTCCTGTCCTGATTTACGCTAATTATGCACGTTAATTGGAAAGGAGGCATCATCTACAAAGTGGAAGCCTTAGCAATTAAAATACTTCAAAAGAAGCTTTAAAAAGACTAGTCGCGTGAGACAGCGGAGGTTTTTGTTATGCCATCACATAGAACACCTCCAAAGGATTCCAGAAAAGTACATGCTTGTGTAGGCTGCCACCAGTAGATAACAATTCTTTAAATAAAACTGATATTCCTGCAAACTTTTATTTAGAGGGCATTTTAAAACACCTTCCAATTTTTTTGCTAGAATTGCTAAACAAATAAAAGTTGTTGATTTTAACAAATCTGTCTGATAAAGAAAGCTGTGCTACCAAAACTCATTTGAATCTCTAAAATAGGTTTGATACAAAGTGCATCGTAGCTCTAAGCCCAACATTGCAGAACGAACATAGCTGAATGCCTTCCTGCCTCAGGCCTAAATACTCAGTATACTGAAAGAAACAAAAGGGGAAACAACTATGCCATCAACCATGACAATTAAAATGATATTTTATATAAAATTTATGCATAAAAAATAAACAAACTCAAGCACAGTTGTCAGGTTGAGGGGGGAATCGGAGAGTAGAAAACAAAAATTAAGTTATTTTTAAAAAAACCTTTCCAAGCAGTTACTTCGTTTCTATCTTTACTAAGTACCCCAATGCAATGATATATTTTATGCTTTATAAAATATAGTTTGCTAATTATTATTGTAATACAGCATATATTCTCAAGGTTGAGTAAAAATTTTGCTGTCAAATCCAGGAATCATATAGTTTATTTAACACAAAGAATATGCGACATTTCCCTAAAATTGCAGTGCTTGCTTTCACAGTACAACTTCACAGGGAATTGCAAATACATCAGTAAGCTAATTTATGACTTAAAACTAAGTTAAAACATCTGTAAAGGCTAATACTCTTATACTTATTTATCATATAATAACATGCAGACTGTTCAAATATCTTGAAGCGTTAAAACTCATTGAATTTTTGTGTAAAGGCTGATTTTGAAGTTTATTTATTTATAGCACTAACAACATATGGATTCAGCAATATTACGAGAGAAAATGTAAAGTACATTAGAAAAAAATCAGTTTGATTCAAATCTCAATCTAACTGCAAAACTAAGGGTTTATGTCCTGCAACTGTATACAACGTACATTCTCAACCTCCCCTCAGATTTAACAGGAGCTTTTCCCTAAAACACATTTAAATCCTTCATGCAGCCTAAATTCTCCAGCTTTATATCACAGATAAGCAGCTTTCCACAATGAATAATGTAACTAGTGTTCAAAGCCATCATTCAAAACACTAAAATAAAACTAAATCTTTCTCTTGCATACTGTCAGAGAAGATGCACCAGCAATACCCTGTAATTCCACAGCTGCAGTTTTTCCACAGAATTCCTTTCCTACATGGTGAATTCTGTTTTTTCATAAAAAAAAAAAAAAAGAATTACATCATTAAAAATGAAAAAAAAAAAAAAACCCAAAACAAAACCACCTGTCACTTCTCTACAAAAAGCTTAAGCAATAAGCTCTGACAGGTGTGACTCGTTCTATTAATCTCAATCAAAGGTCCTCCTAGGCATCATTATTACACAGATGTGTATTTTGTCTTTTTCCCAGATGTTGGAATTTGTTATTTTTCAGCAGGGTTAAAAAAAAAAAAAAGAAAGAATAAAGGTCATTTTGAAGCAGTACACTCCTGCACCTTGCTTTACCTGCTTTCCTTACCAGACCATGCATGACTCTGCTGCTACCAGGCAGGTCATCCAGCCTGGAGAAACACCGTAACAGCTGAGGAACAAAAATGAGCAAATATTTAAAGTGACTACATGCTGCCTGTTTCCCTGGCACAAATCCAAAGGAAGGTTACCTGGACAGGTAGTTTACAGAAAGAGAGCCATGGTCAGAAAAGCCATGCTTCTATGCTTCTTGGACAGTACAATTTAAAACTCAGTTCAAAAATAATCACTGCTAGTAATCAATCAATAAATAATATTAGTAGTAATAATTCTTAGCTCTGTCTCTGGATAGGGATGAGGGAGCTACAAGAGGTATTTGGCCAGATAGTCATGGGGGTTTTTGTTTAGTTTTGCTTGGTTGGTTTTTTTGTTTAATTACCAGAAAATCTTTTTCTATTCAGCTCTAAAATGAGAACCCTGCCTAGCCTATCAGATGTTCAGCTGGCTAAGCCTCCTTATGCTGCAGTGAAAAAAACCTAAAACATAGTTGAAGTGTCTCTCAAACAAAGTTATATCAAAACAGAAAAGAAAGCAGTATACAGCCCGTATACAAATATGATATTAAGTAGTATTTGCTAGCTTACCTATTTATATATATTTTTGTATACTGCTTTCACTTACAGCCTTGACTTTCACAGCCAAACACCAAGGTTAAACTCTCTCCAGTGAGGTGGAGAGCCCTTTCACCTCTAACACCTTCTGAGACGCTGGAATAACAAGAAGGCACAGCCAGGCCATGTCTGAGCAGCATCCTAGCCTCATATATAATGCATCGACTTCATTTCACCACTTAGAATATCGGAAGAATTATCTCAAAATTTTTTAGATATTTTATAAGCATGCCAACAGACTTATTCTCTAAGAGCATCTTTTGATGTCACATGTATTTGTAGAAATTAAGTTTCAGTGAGAATTGTAGGAGCTATTCAGAGTTCCTATGTATTTACTTCATTTGTTGATTTGAAGCTTTTTGAGGCAGAAGGAAAGCTATTGCCAAGTTGATTTTTAGCAGGAGAATTCAAGATTGCATTCAAGACTAAATTACTTGAAACCTTACATTAATAATTCAAGTAGTTTTAATAAAATTTTAAAGCATATTAAAATAATTTCATGCTTTCGTGATTATTTCTTTTTATCAACACTTCTGAATTATTTTAATTTTCCTTGGTTCTAGTATCTACTTTCTTTAGCAATAACATCAGTATAGTGGGGTTTTAGGGTTTATAGAGTAGCATTATCAGTAACAACTACAACAGCAGGAAGTTTTAGTAGAACCAGAAGGCAGATAGAAAAGAATGCAGCTCAATGGGATGCAGGTTTGTAGCAGCTGAGAGGTAAGCTGGGTAAGAGCAGTTGTCCAGAAAATGGTGATGAGATCAGAAAAAACAGCTGTTCAAGTGCAGAGGCAGAAAAAAGCACTTGCAACTGTGAAACCTGAATAGGGGAAGCTCAATATACAGAGAAGATTAGATTTTTTTCAAGACTGGAAAATCAGGAAAGCGAAGGAAGAAATCACTTGAGAAAAGGGGGAATCTAGATGAGGTAGAATGATAAAAGAATTCTGATCCAATGGGGAATGTTTTAAGAATCAATAACTACTGAGATTTTCTGATCACAATAAGAGTTGCTGGTACCTGGATCACTTTCTTAACAGAACACTGCTTTTTATTAGCATGCTACTTCACAGGAGTTTAATTTAAGAAAAGCTACAGCACCCCAGGGGGTACATATACTTCCAGATGCTTCCTTTAGTCACGCCATACTTGGCAACACATTTAGTTTCCAAAGTTAACTTCATTTAACATTAGTCAGTGCTATTGCTGCCAGCCATCAGTACTGCACTAACTCTCAGTGATGTTAACTTGTGACCACCAGTGGGTTGTAAGTTTTAAGTGTATTTGAGCATGTCTTGCTTGGCAATAAGTAAGCTGCCCCCTGACAGGCGGGCAGTAATACACTTGGAGCAGAAGGAAAGCGTTGGTTGTACAGTGAGCTTACCCAGCACCAAGGGCAAAGGGAGACAGAAAGACTGTGAGCACATGGAGAGAAGGGGAAACTGAAATAAAGACATTTCATTAAAGCAGCAGTTATTAGTTGCTTATGAGGTATAAGGTGCCCTAGGAAAATTTCCTTTTTGAAGTTCTTTATTCCCTTACTTCTGCACGAAGTTGCTCTGTTTGCCAAAAAGTTGTTCTCAAGACTGGAAAAACACTTAGACCCAGACTTAAGAAAGGATGACATCAGAAAACCCCATAGGGAAATCAATAACCAATAGATGCAATATATTCTGCAGTCAAATGTAAGAATTTTTTTTCTAAATTTGTATCATAATTAAAGCAGACTGCTGACTCGTATAACCTTGTCTTCAGTTAGGTTACCATACCACCCGTATCAAATGACAGGTGGAGATGCTCATCAATAACAAACAGTAATACCGAACAGTAGTTTAGATGACAAGTGAAATTAAACATGAAGAACCATCTGCTATTTCAGCAGTCTTCAGAAGTATTAATTTAGTTAATCACTTGAATTTACAGCAGTGTCAGTTGCAACATTTCTACTCTTAATCCATCCTGCAACTTGACAAGGAAAGAAAATAGTAACAGACCTCAATTGTAATAATGGGAAATTGAGTACTGGGAGGCAAATAAAATCCCTGTTTTGATAGTTGGGGCTAGGAGGAAGGCATTTAGGATTTTAGAAAGTTGATATTTCACAAGTCTGTAAATGGGAATGACTGACCACCCACTACACTCTTTTCCACTACAGTGGAGAAAAAAGGATCACTTTGTACAGCAGCACTATTACCAGAGAAACCCAATGCCATAAGCAAGAACAGAGCTGTCAGATTTCAAGTTATGGCTCCCACCAATATGTATGTGGTTTAGATCTTGTACACAATTGTGTGCTTTTAGCTACTGAGATTAAAGGGAAAAAAAAAAAAAAAAGAAAACTGCATCTACAGTGTAGATTAGAAATACCTCTGTTAAATACTTGACAAGACTTAAGTAAAATTATTTTATGACAATAAATTGAAGTTGAGGCCTTGGAATTAAAACTACTGTTACCTGTTAAAATCTTACACATAGTACGCATCCATAGAACAATATTGCTAGACCCTATTTTAGTATTTCTAGACCCTATTTATAATTTTTAACTCAGTATATTTGTGGCATTCTATTTTTATAGAAATCCTAACTGAATTATCTGTATAGATGCTGAAGAAAAACAAAAATTTAAAAAAAAAATTAAGCACTGGCTTAACTAATATAAAGTATTAGTTGTACCTTCATTACCTTGTTCTCATCTAATGCACAAACTCAACTCAACTTGAACGCCTCAAAAGTAAGTATATTCTATTCCAAAGTAATCAAATGACACAAAATGAAGAACAGAAAAGAACGGAAACTTGGGAGATTTGGAAAGTTGTCACAGAAGGGCTTTACAATTTTAGCAACCATTTACTTTCTCTGTTTAGTATTATATCTGTGGCTTACTAGAAGCTAACTGGCAGTTATGAAGCAGCATTTTGTTTCTCATTTCTATTGACAATCTTTCAGTTAGAATAAAAAATTTAAAATGTTGTTGAATACTTACGATTTTAAGCTGAAAAATGTTCTTTGAGAGAATGCTGTTACAATAGATTGCTTTTGCAAATGAAATATGCATCTCAGAGGACTTTACCGGTAAAATAAAAATCAAAACTAATTAAGTTTCAAAGCTTGGCTGTTAAGAACAGTAATAATATAAATGTACTCATTAAAAGGTCAATTGATCTTTTCCCCATTTTTGTTTTACATGGCTCTACACTATTTTATGCATTTCTTTTTATTTATATGGGAAGCTAGCTTTCCACATTCCAATTTCATCATTTTAAGCCAAAAATCTATATCCCTTTGTATTAGTTATTGTTTAACTGGTTTGAATTTCACATTTAGCAAGAGAGAGCCACTAAAAAGTACTGTTATAATTACTAAGAGCCTTAACACTGGCCTTACTGGGGCCAGAATTTTGTCTCTGGAGCAACAACATGCTGTTAGAATATGATATTACAATGGATAAATGTGATTGTCTGACAGATGACTTGTCCACTTGGGACAGAGTGAAGCATTTCTGGTGATGCTTGTCCAACCCCTTCTTAAGAGTCTTCAATAATGGAGATATCTTATCAAGTAATTTATTCCAATATCTGACTCCTTTTGCTACAATGAGTTTTTATATCTGATCTAATCCACCTGGCGTAATTTAAACCCACTACTCGTTACCTATCTACTGCAGTGAACAAGCACATATAAAATATATTCCACAGAATATTGGAAGTTAGTTCCATTTTTTACACAGTTTGTGCTTCTGATCGTTTCCATTGCTTTCTTTTGGACTTTCTTTCCAAGGGAAATTTTCCCACTTCTTTCTTTAAGTGTGGCATCCCAAATGGGAAAAGTGTTGCAGGTGAAGTGTTATCAGCACTGATTAGAATAATTATTTTACTTGTTTTACTAACATTATTCCTATTTATATAAATCAGTATGGTGTCTGCCTCTACTCTTAATTCTTGTTCAGCTTGTGATCTATGGTGCCATACACAGATTACTCCAACAGCATTATCTAGTCTGCATTTCTATTACTGACCCTTCCTACTTAAATTAAAATTTCAGCATTTTTCCCTCCTGACTTTCTCTCCAGTTTGACAATAGGTCACTGGGTGATATTCTGTATGTACCATATTGCAAACTATTACATACTTTCCCAACACTGTATCTACTCTAAATCTGACTACCTTGTTTATGAGAATGCTGCATCAGACAGTGTCAAGATACTTAAAGATAGAACATCTACTGCTTCTACCCTAACTTCAAGGCCTGCTATGCTATAGGAGTAAATTAATTTGGTTTGAAATAGCTCATTTTTTAATGAATCTATTGACTCATGTTCTGTCAGGAAAAATTGTCTCAGAGTAGTGAATGTGCTATAAATTCACACCATCAGTTACTTCACAAGATCTTCCATGTGTACCCAGAATCTAAGCTGACAGTAATAAGAGGAAGAAAACCAGTGTTACCAGACACAGCCTGCAATATGCAAATATTATTTGAATGATGCTTTGAACAAAGGAATTCCCTTTTATTCAAAACCTAAAGTGCTGGGAAGGAGAGAGGGGGAAAAAGTGAAAAAAGAATATTGTTGACCCTTCCAAGATGCATTGCCTCTGATATTAATTTATTTTTTTAAGGTAAAAATGCAGCTAATGCAACAGGTTTATGTGCTGTAGAAGTGGTCCCCAGCTGCTTGTTCTAAAGCTGGTTCATAACATCAAAGACTAAGTTTTCTTCAAGTTCATTGTTCTCCAAATATGTGGAAACCCCAAACCCTTCATTTCTTAAGTGTTGTTCAATAGGTTTAGATTTACAGTTTGCTATAGCGCTTTCTACTGACACCTACTGCCAATAAAATACTATTTTCCTGATATAAAACTAACCCATAAAGTCTCATATCTTCAATATATTTCCCTCAAATAGCTCAGTCAGAAAGAAACTTTGCCAGTCTTTATGACACAAAACTCCTCTACTTTTGCAGTCCCTTGGTCATCTAAGAGTTAAAGCACTAACAGCTGCAAAAAGAAAATGGCTGCCAGTTTGTCGAATGATTTAATGAATATGTGGTAAGACATTTCAATTTAAGTTTATACCTTTTCCATTTTTAAGTAATTGACAAAGTCTGTTTTCTTTGTGTACACAAACATTTAAGGAAAGCAGCAAAAGATATATAAAGGTTATTTCAGAACTTGTTTTCTTAAGAATTGGATTACTATTATAAAACTATTGTACACACTAAAATGTGCATCTAAACCGTCTATATTCTTTCACTGTAGAAATATCACAGAGCATGCTTTTAATTTAGCATAATCACCACTGCCCCATAAACCTACCTCTTTTGGCATGAAGGACAACAAGCATTGCAAAGCTGACTTTCCCTTTAAGTTAACCGAATACAAATAAGGCTTTGAAGAACAGCAGTCAACCACTGTCAAACAAAATTCAGAATCAAATTACAGATGTTGTCACACTAAATATCAACTTTGTAATAGCTGCAGTACTTCAAAGTGATTTCCAGCCTTAGGTATCTAGATATCTCTATGGTAAACATTTCGCACAAAGTTACAAATTAATACAGTATTTCTCACATGGATTCTGCAGGTAATTTTGAGAAGTGTTAATCACCAGAAACTGTCATTAAAGTTATTGATTTGGGAGAATACAATATTTCAGGAAAAAAACCACTGACATTTACCTTTGAATAAAAGTGTTAAGCAAAAATAGTTAACTAAATAATGAAAACTAATACCACAGGGAGAAAAATAGTTGGCTGAAACTGCTTTTCTGAATTACTTTAGGCATAATCTACACTACAGAAGTTTACTAGTAAGGCTTGCTTCATTTTTCAGACTTTCATGTCCAATTTTAAGGCACTGGCAGAAGCATGGGTTTCCAACAAACAAGGTAACATTCCTCTGAGATCAGTACTCATCCTGAAACACCAGGATCAGTATTCATCCAGTATTCACCATTTGAACAGTACTGGACCTGATTGGATGTCACATTACTTGTTTCAAGCACAAACTCTGATTTAGAAATTATGTGTAATGAGTCAATTCCCGTGCTGGCTAGTTAGTTGCCTGTTGTAGACAGTCTTACATTTCTCTTCCAAGTTAAGATGACTAACCAGGAGCCCTCACCTTCCCTTTGAAGTCCACCACATGGTAAGAAAACCCCTCTGTTCTTGTGAGATCTTTTTTTTATCATCATCCACACATAGTTCTACATAAAGATACAAATAATATTACAATACTGTCTTGCAAAGGAGAGTCCTGATTTCCTGAGCTTGCAGGGACAAGAGGCCATATAAGCATAGCTGCAAAATTCTTACATGAATAAAGATGTTGTAACAGCAAAGGAGATTCCAGGACTGAAGTAAAACAGGGATGAACAACGAGTCAAGGATAAGAATCTGCAGTAGTTCTATCAAAACAACAAAGAATAGCAATCTAATTCCACATATTGCCCCAATGTCATTCCGAGTTGGTCATCAGGCAGAACAGAGGTCCTGTGATTAACCTGCAGACACCCTGTACCATTAGGAAAACAGGGAAGTCCGGACCCTTATACTCATGATGAATTTACTGGAGGGTAAATATTGTCAAAATATGGGTAAAAGCCCATGAATAGGAAATGAGTAGAGTTGTTTGGCTTTGCTTGGTGTTTTTAAATGTGGGGGTTTTTAATTTGAACTGGTGAGAGGGTATTCAAACTTTTTTTTTTGTTAACATACTTTAGCATCTATAGAAAAAAAAAGGAAAAAAAAAAATCTACAGGCAACCTGACATTTTCCAAATGCTTATTTTTGGCAAATGTCATTTTACAGGCAACCCAAAAATGTCTCCTCTTAATTTATATTAAGCAGCACTTGTAAAACAATTGCTTTAGGTTTTCTTAAATCAGAAAATTTGTATACCAGAAATAGTCTGACAGATTTTTCTCTTAGCATTATCCATTCCTTATCTAATTAAAATTCTGATATAGCAAAAGCAAATACCTGAATGGTCATTAGCATTCAATTTAAAATCCTTATACTTAGAAAAATCAAACTCCACTCTGGTACATGCTTGTCCTTTGTTCTGCAGCAAAAAGGGAATTGATTTTGTAGAGCCGACATAAACACCACTAAAGTCAAATAGTTCCTGTAAGTTTAAAGAAAAAAAACTCAGGTCAAAGCACTGTGAAGTCAAGTTTATAATTGAACAGAATGTGAAAAATATAATTTTTCAAAGATTCACAATTTATAACACAATAACAGTCTTGGTTAATCAATTGTCTTACATAAACCTTATCTTTAAAATCTGTCCAGGACATAAAACGCAACAGTTTAGAACTCAATACATAAGTCCAATTACACCATCAGGAAAGTTTTCATCATTCAGTAAACAGATCAGTGGATTCCTTTTCCCCCTTATTGCATTTTTTTCCTATAACTACCTTACAGAAATCCTCTCCCTTTTAAACATACTTTTTCTGGATTATCAAGTTCAAAAGGTAAAGCTGTCAGCTATCATTTAGTGCAACTGTTATATGTACACTTAGTTTTTAATTTCTTTTCCTAAGTTCCTCTCTTTGATAATTTTCTCAGGAAGTTAGTCCAGGAAAAAATGAGAAATATGAAGTAGGGATGAGCCACTTAGACATCTAGATAAAGCAAAACAGTATCAATCTTACCAATTGCTACAATTTCTTCACTTACCACATCAATGTTTATTTCAGGGATCTCTACAAATCCACCAATCCTAAGTACTAGTACTCCTGAATTTCGCACTGCTACCTAAGTGAATGGACAACAGTGTGATTGTTGACAAGGCCTTTTTAACATCATTATCTCACCAAATCTGTCATAATTACACAGAAAAAAAAAAGTTTAAAAAGAAAGGAAAAAAAAAAACAAACAACCTACCCCACAGATATAGAGTGGAAAGAGACATTCAGCATAATTTGTAATGAATATATGAAAATAACTCTGCCCTTACAATATAATGCATTTTTGTTATGGAAATATAGAGGTAAAGAAAATGCCTTCATTTTCTAGAACATATATATACAGATTCCAGTGAGATGTGGCTTCAAAGAAGAACCAATCATGCCTCTGTGGCATACCATATCTGGGATAGTCATAGCTGTCAATTTAAAAAAACAAACAAACAAACAAAAAACAACAAAGTTTCAGGAAAGACCAGTCTTCTGCAGACAAAAATAATGTTGCAGGAGGCTGTATCACTGGAATGAACAGTTTTCTCCAACAGGAGAAAGCTGAGTGGATGGGTTAGATCTATTCAGCATCTGTGAGGATTGGAAAGCATACTACAACACAAATTGCTGGACAGAGGTGCTGGTACAAAGTAGATACTATTGTTCTGAGCAACGCTAAATCTGTTTTAGAAGTGGGAAAAAAAGAAATGGATACTAAGTTTAGCAAGCATAATGTAGGCAGCCACAGAAGATGGCGAATCCAGGATTAGAGTCAGAAAAGGTAGCAAAGATCAGCCCCATGATAGCATCCTTTTTCCCATTCTCACTTATCCGACCAAGGACAAGTTCAGGTAGCAGGCATGCAGAAAACAAAATAGGATTAGATGTTTATTGCACTATTATCAAATCAAATCTACTAGTGAGTCCATCCCTGAGATGACCACAAAAAGAAGTCAAGAAATTAAAGACACTACAGTATTCCAGTCCTGCTCCTCCACAGATCATAAAAACTGCAGTTATGTCTACATGATCGCCTGAAGACAATCATGTTAGTTTCAACAGCTTGCCAGTGGTATTATATGAACCAGCTCAAACAAAGAGGCTGTTTTGATACTTCAGAGCAGGACTGAGAGAAAATAACAGAATAGGTTATAGCAGCCATCAACTGCTTAAGAAAACCTTTTTTCTTTTTTTCCTTAAAAAGCATTAGAACACTGGAGATAAAATCCAAAAGATGCTCAAATGTACACACATAAACAGACACACAATGTAACACTCAAAAGACAAAGTTCTTCCAGTTTTGCATACCTCCACTCTCGTGTCAAAACTCATTTTTGCATTCGGAGTGAAACAGATTTTGAGATCAGCATGGCCTCCCACAGGTATCACCCCTTCAGAAGGGGTGATCAGCATTCCAGGCAGTGGGTTTGAATCAAGAACCTTCAAACACAAACATGAAGCATTAATAATACTGAAAAAAGGAGGAAGAGTGTTTTGGTTTGGGGTTTTTTTTAAATATCAATATATCTACCATGAAGATTTTATATTCCTACAAGGAGAACCTTCATAACATATCATGCTAACTTGGACTTAGAAGTTTGGGGCAAAAATACAGGCAAACAAAATAAAGTAACAGATTCCTAAATATGTTGACTGTCAGTTTCTACTATGAAATAATTTTTGCACACCAGCTGGAAATTTCACAGTCTGGTTTTTGGGTTGTTTTCATGAAGTTATTAAAATTAAGACTTGCTATCTAGCAAGTCTCCAGAATATTCTGCAAAGCATTTTTTTCAGTGACAGATAAATTCCTAACTTCTTTTTTGACATTCACAGTTAGAAGATGGGACACACGATCCTAATAGTGTAAAGTTCAGTAATAATACTAGGAGTAAATATTCAGTTTGCCCACAATTATTAAGGACAAAAATAGAATTTGTTCTCTTCTAATGCACTCCAAACAGATAACTTTTCAAAGTATAGCTACACAAGTGATAATGACCAAGACCAACCAGCCATCTCTTGGCTTAAAAGTAATTGTGAAGGCTTAAAAGGCCGGGTATGTTTGCTTGTTTGTCTTATTGATTATGCTGATTTTATTCCTTCAGGCCCATCCTCCAAGAGTATAGTAATAATACTTGTTATTACAATGCCCAGCTGATAAACAGAGAAATATGGTACAATTCAAAATAAATTAATCAAGTTTCTTAGTACCATAATAACGTAGTAAAATAATTCTGAGGATTTAAATGAAAATTAATTTAGTAAAGCAAAATAATCTGTGATCATCACATCTGTGGTCAGGAGAACGAATGAGATTAGGTTTCGTACTAATTCATGTATTATGTCTTTACCCACTCTGGCATCCTTCTCATCTCTTAACCAATTCATAATACAGCCTATCTTCCTCTCAGATGTTACTCTAGCAAAGTAATCACATTTGCTGTGACCAGCCTGGGTCTATGCATGCACTGACCAGGCAGCCAGTATGAATAGGATGACTAGCCAGTTTGCTCTGTCTCTCAAAATACAAAACCCATGCAAGCTGTAACTGCTTTTTCACAGGGTACACCAGTATGTGGTTCTACCCTCACCACTTTGCTTGTCTGTCAGTCCATCTATCCATCAATCCAAATTTGACAGAGGGACAGAATTCCTATTCACATAAACCTTGTTTATTCAGAAAACCAGACAAAAAAATTAAGTAGGTGTATATCTAATAACTGAGAACAGAAAACTGTAACATGATCTGATAAAATGAACTCCCTTCCTTTCTCCCCACCCCCAGAAATCAAATATGCTAAAAATAACTTTAGTTTACTTGGAAGTACGCATGATTGTGTCCTATGTTTTGAAGAATGGCTGTTCTACAAGTAGATAAACCCACTGGACTATGACTGAAGGGTATCCTTTGTTCCACAAACTGAACTTTAGTAGTACCAAGCTATAAAAAAAGAAGAGAAAACAAACAGACTAAATAACATAATACTAAGTACAAATAAATAATTCAGCCTAATTTTCTTTTCATTACATAATGAGCTAATATACTTGTGGAAATGCATAAATTTAAGTATTCAAATAGACAAACACAGTTTAAATGTGAGACAAGATTTACTCAATATATTGAACTTATCTAGATTTAAAGTGAACAGACACAGTCCCAGAGATATTTCTGGGCTAATTTCAAGACAAATATTTTAATTAAATTTAATTTAACAGCACAAGCTCCATGATTTTTTTTTTAATCCTAAATGTGTGATCAGGACAAGAAATTTTAATAGCAGTAGAAATGCCAATATTCTAATTTACACACATCCTGGTTTACATATGGCAATTTCCAAGGCTTCAAAAGAAGAAGAAAAAAAGAAAAAAAGCTACTGGGGGGTGGGGGGGGGGAAGAGAAAGCAGGCACATCAAAATGGAGGGAAAAAGTTTTCTTAGCTCCCAAAATGGAAGTTCTAGAGCATGCAGCCAGTAGAATACAGTGAAAAAAGAAAAACATCTGTCTCCTTCACACTCCCTGGCATGTAACATATGATGACAAATGATTAATTTAATCTGAATTTTGCTGTTTAGAAGACTATCCAGAACATTGCTTTTCAAAGTATCAAATACCATATTCAAATAACAATACAAAATTACATAACAGCCTGTTGTTACCCTGAAGCTCTGAAACATACCTTCCCACACACACCTTGATTTTTACCCCTGTAATATATATCTGAAGAACTATCATACCACCTTCTCAAACACCTCTCAACCTTTGTTTGGCTAAGCTATGCATGCCAGGAAGAACAATTACCACTTAATATATAAGGACCACTAAGTTGTGGTGCCAAAGGAAGTATATAGCTGAAAACAAGAAAAAAAGCAAATTGTCTTTGTCTTGCTTTCTCCATCTGCTTGAGGGTAGGAAGGCTCTACAGAGGGATCTGGAAAGGCTGGATCGATGGGCCAAGGCCACTTGTATGAGGTTCAACAAGGCCAAGTGCCAGGTCCTGCACTTGGGTCACAGCAACCCCATGCAGCGCTACAGGCTTGGGGAAGAGTGGCTGGAAAGCCATCTCATGGAAAAAGACCTGGGGGTGCTGGTTGACAGCCGGCTGAATATGAGCCAGCAGTGTGCCCGGGTGGCCAAGAAGGCCAACGGCATCCTGGCCTGTATCAGAAATAGCATGGCCAGCAGGAGCAGGGAGGTGATCGTCCCCCTGTACTCGGCACTGGTGAGGCTGCACCTCGAGTGCTGTGTTCAGTTTTGGGCCCCTCACTACAGGAAAGACATGGAGGGGCTGGAGCGTGTCCAGAGAAGGGCAACCAAGCTGGTGAGGGGCCTGGAGCACAAGTCTTATGAGGAGCGGCTGAGGGAACTGGGGTTGTTCAGCCTGGAGAAAAGGAGGCTGAGGGGAGACCTGATCGCTCTCTACAGCTACCTGAAAGGAGGCTGTAGCGAGGTGGGGGTCGGTCTCTTCTGCCAGGTGGCTGGTGATAGGATAAGAGGAAATGGCCTTAAGTTGTGCCAGGGGAGGTTTAGATTGGATATTAGGAAAAATTTCTTTACTGAAAGGGTATCAGGCATTGGAACAGGCTGCCCAGGGAAGTGGTTGAGTCACCATCCCTGGAGATATTCAAAAAGCACGTAGACAAGGCACTTCAGGACATGGTTTATTAGGCAGGGTTGACAATTGGACTCAATGATCTTAAAAGTCTTTTCCAACCTAAACAGTTCTATGTTTCTATGTCTTTGGAGCAATATTCTTTTCTTAAACATGTCAAATAGAAGCCATGTGAAATTAAAATAATTTTCTGAATACACAATAATATAAATATTTAAGAAATTACTTGTGTTAAAAAAAAAAACCACACATTTTGCTTCTCTAGATCTGCTTTATGAATTGTTACCTTTGCAAAACATTTCAACTTAATTGTGTTTCCTTTACGCACACACAAGTTGAATTCACCTTCTTCTGGAGAGTTGAACCCTGGATGCCAAACAACTTCACACTCCAGATCTCTATAGGCCTCCACAAAGCCTAAATAAATGAGCATAATTTACACGTTATAGCATACACATGTACAATTACCAAATTACACTGCATAACTAGAAGTAACATAAGCACATTAAAGTGAAATGACCTTCTATTGCCGAAAACTAAGCCTACATTTCAAAGGTGTTGAACAGTATGTTGAATTAAATAAAATTAGTTTCTGAATTCTCATGACAATTGCATAATCTGTTTATTAGTATCCTGCAGTAAAATACACTCAAATTTCACTAGTATTTTTAGTCATGAATTACTCAAATAGTCAACATTTTAAAAAAAATAAAAGAACAGACTATCCTTCTTGAATAATAACAATTTTGGGAAAGACCATATACATTTTCTTGCTTGCAATTGAGTCTGAACTCATATCAGCAGAAATATCTTTTCTCAAGAATCAGAGCACACCAAGTTCCTGATCCAGCCAAATCTTGTTTGAACAGTGTAATACCAATTCAGTTAGCAGCTCTTTAATAACAGAGCTCCAACATACTCCTGCAGAACACTATCTTTCAAAGGAAAGAAGGTAAAAGCTGATGTCTCACACATTTCTAACAAATACTGATCCATAATGCAAGTGGAAACTAATCCCAGATTGAATTCCATTTGTGTCACTCAGACTGTCTACATCAACTTCTTAGCAGCTTCATTCATACAGTCCTTTTGGAAAATTTCCTGTCCTGACGAGCTGTATGATATTACTAACTGCCATTAAATATCTGCTTCGCTTCTTAAATATCAGCAATCCGTGCTGTGAAAAATGGTTACATAAGTGCTGCTGGGTGGACATAGAGACAACAAACTGGACTGAGTATGCACTCAGTAGGGATTATACAGGGAGTGCTACTAAGGTATTAACACTCTGATCTGATACTACTTTTGGGATACACTGATATTGACCCAAATCTAAAAAATACAGTTTATAGTATCAGCTGAATGTTTGTCTTATTTAACATTATTGACATTTAAGACACATGCACACACAGTAGTTGCACAGTATACCTTTGGTTGGACGTATAGAAAATGCAGTTCCTCTATCTGTAATTATAGGTTTCCAAGTAAACTCAGCAGGATGGTTTCTAGAATTGTATACCCTGACAGTTGTTCTAAATTCTGTCTCTGCTAGGTAGCCAGGAATAGGATTTAAAATCACTTCCCTTGCAGACAGCTCAAGTTCAACAGACACTGCATTTGCAACTACCAGCACATGCCCAAGGTGTTGGTTGTTTATTGTGTAAGTGAAAGACCTGCAACATAAAAATACATATTTCTCAATATTTTTACATATATATTATGTTGTAGTCAGAGTAAACTTTATGTGAAATATAATCATTAGCAAGAAAATACTTAACAAAACAATTGATTGTGAACACACAGTTAAGACTGAGAAGAGAAAGCAACCTGTAATTGTTTTGCATACAACTTAAATTATGTGAGAAGTAAAGATCGTCCCAAAGGATGATCAACCTCATACAGTCATTTTAACAGCATTAGTAAAGTGAGAGTTCCATCTCCATGCCAGAAGGCTAAAAAACAGTTTACCTGTACATTTACCCATGAGCTGCATCAAAAGATCTGAGCATAGATGTGGTGATGCAACACTATGCCAGACAGAGCACAGTATTTTCCATAAAATGTATCTTAACAAATACACTGTAAAAGCAAACTATTTTCCCTGATATACCTGTGGTTATATGGACTTTTGACAGCTTCATTCATACAGTTTGTTGGGGTTTTTTTAAACCCTATGAAACATTACTATACTAGCAAAATTTTGCAACATAAAACTGCATTAATTATTGCAGTATCACCATAAACTAGTGTACACCATTAACACTTATCATAATTACACTGACTTTAAACAAGACACATGATACTTTTTATTCTACTGCTCCAAAGAAAACATGTAAATCAAGACAAATATAAGCCTTACCTTTTAAACATTCCAAGAGTGTTTGTCTCAAATACAATTGGAATATGAGTCTTTGTAAGAGGAGGCACAACCTGAGACAATGGACCCGTCTGCTGTAATTCATCAATTTCAATCTTAATTTGTATCCATATATGAACTAACAAGTTATTGATGATGTGCAGTTTTCTGGCTGTTGTAGAATACACACAAACATCACCAAAATCCATAGTAGAAGGACCTGGAATATAAAAGAAATAAAGATATTCAACATTAAAAAGTGGATGTTAATGTAAGGAAGCATAACTACTAAAACATTATGATCAAAACATTTTAGTTTCTCAAATTACAGACTTAGTCAGCTAGAACAATCCTGTAGCAGAACAAATTCACACTAAAATTTGGAAGTAAGTACCATGCAAGTTCTGTGAATATTTTCAGTAGTACAACTAAAAAGCCAGCACCAACATTTATTTCTTAATTCTGTCTGTTAGACAGCTATTAAAAAAAGGAAAAGCAATGTGCTAATTACTAAAGGCATTATTAATAATCATAAATACTTCTTTTTATTAATCGGGTATTTAAATGACTAGAGAACCAGCAACTCACTGAAAGTTTATGCGCTTAACCTGTTAAGTGCTTATATGCTCCCTGATGCGTGACCTTTTGGTTTAATAACTCACGTAATTTGATGATGACAGAATTATCACACTACTTTATTTACCGCTATCACCGGTTTTTATGCTGGTCTGCAAACTTTAGTGCTTATGGCACTAATCAAACATCTTACAGAAAGTACTTAGAGTTTTGTATTAATATGTTTATCTTATTCTACCTTTTCCCAAGTGTATCAGTATACACAGCTACACTATTCAAGTTCTGGCTTCACTGAAAATAAAAAAAAGCCCAGAAAGTACTGAAAATTTTCACTTTGCTACTAAATAATTTTACTGGAAAAAAATGACCCTAAAATAGACCAGTTTTAGTACCAAATGTTGTTTATAGACGAGTCTGTCACAGACTTTAGAAGGTGATACTCCCCATCACAGGAGTGTTCCACTGAAATTATTTTGAAGGAGGATCCTGAAGAATTTTTATGTTTTTTGGGTATCACTGTTAATTCTCAGAAACATTTTGAACACTCCCATGAATCTTCTTGATATTAATGCTGGTCCAGATACTATCCAATAACAAGGCATAAGTGTATGAGTAACCTTCATACTATGCTTTGTTGATTTCTCTGTAATAGGCTGTTTTATGAGTAGTCTTTAAAGGAAGCTCTCCTTTTATATGTTCATACCTATTTATATCTCAGTGTTTTCTGAGGAGTACAAGCTTTAGTTAAACACTACTATAGATATCAAGCTGCCACCAAATTAAGCTATTTTCTATTCAAGGTGAACAATCATGAACATAAATTGTGTTACTATAAATAAGTGCTTTTATAACAACTATATACATTTACTAACCAAATTAAAAATCTTACCAATGAATATTTGATGAAGCTGCTTGGATGTCAAAGTTAGACTACAATCTTCCTTCTCCTGGGTAGAATATGGCATAGCGCTAAGCCCACTCCAAATCTGTGATAAGCATAAGACATCTTCTCAGAGCAGAATCAAAATTCTTATGTTTTTTTATATGGTAAACACATTATGCTTACATTACTACTCAAGCATTTAACTTACTTCTTTGATTGAAGATTTAGAACCAATTGCTGCCAATTTTCGACTAGTTAATAGGCAATTCTCATCTAAAGGAAACATTTTGAACTGTAGCTTCTCCTTGTGAAAATCTGTGATTGAAATCTTTGGTGACACAAGCCCTTCAGCTGGTTTAAGGCCTATGCTCACAGAATTATTATAAATATAAAATTGCCTATAGGGGAGGGAAAAAAAAAAAGAATATGGAAATCTAGAAGTTTGAGCATTTCATGTTTACACATTAAATTATTCAAGACTTTTAAACATAACAAATAAGATTTTAAGTAGGAAAATTTCATTATTAAAAAAACCTCAAGTACAGAAAATGCCTTGAAAAGTCTTTTATTGTATTGTTTAGGCAAGGATTAACATCTGTTGCACATTTTGTGGCAACTGCTTAGCTAAATAGGTTGCAAGCACTATGGCTACCAAAATATAAATATTATATCATGTCTAAAACACCTCTTTAAGAACAATGACGTTCGAGAGTCAAGCACTTAAAAGTTAGCAAATGCCAAAATTACAAAGGATCCTTTAACTGTATATGTCTGAACCGGACCACTTACAGCCTAATTTTCAGCGCAATTAACTTTTCTTGGTCAAAGTTCAACTCCAACCAATCAATTTCACCTGCAACCAAGAGATTTAAAACTTCCAGAGATCTTACACAGATGTTTTGTATCAAGTATTCAGAAAATTATTACTATATGTTTGATAGTAACAGTGACATTCATCTGATAACTGTGAAATTTTCTTTTCTGTTCTTGCTCTTCATGCAATACACCTTGAATATATGTGTTATGGTCATATAAACAACAGTTCATCCACTACACAGCACCAGTTCCTTTCAAGAAAGCCATACATCATGCGCATGCATAAAAATAAAGTAAATCCAGCTCTGCAGGCCTTGTCTGAATCATGATGTATATAAGCAGAGCAAGGTAAATTGTGATTACAAGAATAATCCACTGGCCTTATTAATTTTTAAATAAAGGGCCTTGCAAACTTAACACTTAAGGTATTACTCCTCTTGCTTTAGAGGCTTTAGGGGGTGGGGGGGGGAGGTGTTGTTTGTTTGTTTGTTTTAAAAAAAACCAAAACCCAAAAACTTTTAAAAGTAGCAGAGCTATCAGTTGTTCTTTTCCATTATTTTGCTCCACAACATACCAACCAAATACACAAATTCATGAAGTAAGAATTTACTATAAGATAAGGCTAGAAGACCAATATAATCTTTTAACCTTCTCTGTTTCATTCCACAAATTATATCATGATTTACATACTGAATCCATCACTTTGGGTGAGCTAGACATGCTAGTTGGAAATTCATCCAATTTATTATATAAAAAGAAAAGACAATCCAACAGAATCAATGTTATGGTTTTCCTATTAACCTTAACCAACTGTTCTCAAGACTTGGCATCTTATTTTAAGTTCATTTTAATTTAAAGTTCCATGCCTCTTTCCCTACGTTTTACCCAGGAAGTGATCTCTACGTGTCTAAATGAACATTTGAACAAAACAGGTTTTGAATGCATTATAAATGAATGCCCCAAGACCATAAGCATTTCAGCATGGAACCAATTTAGGTGTATGACTGGTATCACTAAGTTAATTCTGCACGTATATATACATATTTTTCATATAAGCCTTTATGCTGAATATTTATCCTTTAAACAAAGTCTTACCTAGCAGCATCTTTCTGTAAACGACGCTGTCTTAAACTAGAAATGAAGTCTGCGTAGTATTCCTTATGTTCTTCTTTTGACAATCGTTCGCAGTCAGTATAAGAAAACTCCGGATCTATATAATTATATCTTTCAGTCTTTGTGAAAATAGTCCTAAACATTTAAAGAGAATTGTAGTTTTGCTACATGCATAAAATGGTTCTGGGTCTTCTTAGAATGAAAACACATTGATTTTGCTATATACATATTTCATTGCAAATATTCTTTTTATCACAACTGATTATTAATATTTGACCTTGTAAAGGCAACCATAAAAATGAAATATTGAAACTGTAATAGCTACATTTGAACTTTCATGTAAGAAAAGCAACTCAGGAAGTTTATGTGCATGAGGCTCAAGGTTAAGTAGAATGCAATGAATTTTAAAGAACTTTCAGCCTATTAAAAAAAAAACAACAGTAAACTATCATATGAATAACCAATCTTGATCTACTATACAGTATATACAAATGTGTTGTTTTAAATATTATATTCATATAATTTTTACCTGTACTTTTTATTCCTTTCACTAGGCCTAATGCTGGCTGCACGGTCATTAGGAAAAGCTGTAAGTGCATCACCATTACAATTCCTGTTTATCCGATGAGTATGAATTTGTGTTTGGCTGGATTTAAGTATTGCCACAGGTGCTGTATCAGTGTACCGTCCTGTGCCATCAGCTACAAACTGTCCAGTTGCATTGGAAATCATTGGTGTTATACCTTCAAATTCAAATAAAACATGTTACATACACTTACGCTAATACTTTCTAAACAAAATTCAAAGTATTAGAAAAATATTTCTTAATTTATACTGGTCCACCCAGCAGCGCAACAATCAGGCACCCATCCCATCATGTTTTTCTCAAACAAGAGGGAAGGCGACCACACTAACAGCCAACTGCATTCCCTGGCCTAGATCACAGACTAACAAATACTAGAGCCCAAACCACTACTACTATGTCCAGCTGTGACATTTTGTCTTACACATGCACATGACCAAACACTCAGAGCTGCCTCTGTCACAACACTGTCCACGGTGTCCTAAAGCTTGTCTTAAGGGCTGCAAACACAGGCATGATTTTCAACAAAGAACTCCCAAGCTAGCACAACTAAAAAGAGAGCTCAGATCTTTTTCACTCTAGTTTTAGAAAAGCACATACACATTAAAGAGAAAAATTATGACAGAAACTAGGCCATGTGTTTTCTCACCTCTCCTTACATTAAGTACATGTTTAAAACAGCACTACAAATAAGTAAATCCATTCCTCAACTGCCCCTTCCTCCCTCACCTGCACAAAAACTGATACATTATACTACACATATTGGTTTTACCCACATTAACCTCACTTTAGTCTAAAATGGCTAAAAAAAAAAAAAGAAAAAACACCAAACTATTTTCCATCTTCCAAACTATAGGAGTGATTACAACTTCTACTGCCCAGGGAGGCACAGTTTGCAAGAAGCTTCATTCCAGTCTCTTCCCCCCTCCACCGAATGCAGAGAGACAAGTACACATACTCATCCACAGAGACTGGGACAAGAGAACAGGAAGATATAGAGACCATCTACATAGGATCTGAAAAAACTCACTTTCCCTCCACGCTTCAATAAAGCTTAAAAGCAAAACACAGATATCAGTAGCCTATAGAGCACAATTACCCCTCATAACCTCTTTATAAACCTGCAAACAGGAGCAGAATGGGGACATTAATAGAGCAAATGTCAGACAAGAGCATTTAGAAAAGCTGACAAAACTTGAATACTACATTAAATCTTTGATCCACAGAAACATATTTTAATTGTATTTCTGAAGCAGAAAAACTGCAGGAGTCCTAGATTTCAACAATAAAACCCAGAGCCTGCAAAACTTTAGTTTCTCATCAATTCTTGATTGCCATGGACTTGAAATACCTTCCTGAAAGTAGCAGGAATGTCCAGTGGCTTATCAACCATTCTGATACTTGTAGAAAGAACATTTTATCCCGACTTTCCAATGACTTCCTCTTTTTACTTCCCAATGCACTCTCTGACAAATATGGGTATTGCCTTCCTGTTTTTCATTAGTGAGCACATCTTCAAGTGGGCAGCAGTCACTTAAGGAATATTCAACCTCCCCTCCTTACCTACACACAGAAACGAGATGGACCACTGTACAGTACAGCCCCGTTGCACTCACACTACCTGCAGATGCTATGGTATATTTGATGCTAGAAAAAGCTACGTTTCCCATGACTGGTTTTAAAATCCAGTGACAGGCTTAGTCAAATCTGCTGTAAAGTGGTTAGGAACATGAGGAACATATTAGAGACTAATTATTACATATCCTGAAAGATTCTTTATGCTGGCATAGGCTTCATAGGATGGGAAGAGTCAATGGACATGGGACAGGTAGCAGGCTGTATTAACTAGCAAATTCACCTGGCACTAGCAACTTTCAATCAATAAAGAATACCCTGTTATCTTTCCTAACTTCTTTCTGTGCTTTACCCGTCTCTCTACTTACAACTGAAACATATTAGCACTTTGTAATGGCATCGCTGCCAAAAACTGAAGCCTTTATTTTCTGATTTATAAAAGTTAAATAATCATACGATGAAAATTTATGCTTTAACAGTTCAGTTTTTGTTAAAATATTGGGGGGGGGGGGGATGTTACCATTATTTTAGCTATTGTTTTATACTCTCATGAGTATATGTCATACAATTGAGCATTCCTTCTAGTCCCAAAGAGATATTATTTTTTAAAAACAAACTAAAAACAGTAAAAAAATCTCTTCTACAATGTTAAAAAAATCTACTTTTAAAACATTTTATCACTTGTCACTTATCTTTTTAGCATCTTACCAGGATTAACTTTGAATAGAATGTTTTTCCGTTTAGATTTGCACACACCAATAAAGCTCAAATACATGCGATGAAAGGATTTTGTCTTCGAAACCTGTAAATTATTATTCTCTAGTCCTGTACCAATGATATCAACAACTTGCTTCACTTTAAATGTTCCTATTTGATGGGGAGAAAATGAAAATATCACATCCTGGAAAAGAAAAGTCATTATGAGACATATGAGGCAGAAAAGCAAAGAGAAAAGTTCTGTGTAATTCTGTTTAATTGAGTCACTTCTCTCCACACTTACTTCTAAGATAGGTGTTCAAAACTGGGCTTTTAGAGTATGCCTACTGTCACACATAAATTAGCAATATAAGGAAATAGAAAACTGCTACACATCAGAACAAGTCTCACTTGCTCATTTCTGGGACAACTTGTTCTCTCTTGTGCCCTGAGCTCCAGGTTATGAAATTATGGATGTTTCCATATTTGACTTAAGTTTGGCAAAGTTTCTTCCATTAAAATAAATGTTATCTTACTCAAGTATTTTTGATTTACTGAAAAAAAAAAAAAATCAAAAGGATCCTGCAAAGGTTTGATTATGAACCAATGCTTCTCAAGTCAGTAAGCTACAAAAAACTTTAAAGCCAGGAAAAACCTGGCTAAAGTTTCTTTAGTATTACAATTATTTTTCTGAAATTTAAAATAACACTTGCTGCTTCCTGGAATACAGGAAAGAGCATTCAAAGACTCTACATAAGGAAAAAAATTATATGTTTGGCTGATATTAAACATCATGGCTACTGAAATGAAATTGTTCTGGTTTACATTCAAGAAATTCCACCACTGTCCACTGTAAAGTAATCTGCATTTCTACATAATCTAAGAGAAAGAGTTAGTTACCTTTGCAGATCTTTTTTTAATTTTTCCTTTTTCAGGAAAAATATTAAAGTGAGCGGTCTTGCAGAAGCTGAATGTTACTGGAAGGGACTCAGATTCATTTCTGAGTGTGCATAGAACTTGTGTTTGTTCGCCCAAAAAACAGTCCATAAACTTAATAACTGGTCCTGGATTAAAAGTTAACATGACAGGAAGCCCAGAACCTGTCAAGGCTAACTCCATGTGATGAGGATGATTCACTACATTAGACAAACACAAAAAATAAACAAATAAAAAAAAACCTCACACACCTATTGGCTTACAAACAGAAAGGTCATACTGTAGTTATATGGTTGCAAAAACAAAATAATACCATAATACAGTATGATTTATAATGCAATTTTCTATAAACTTAACATAGACATGCTTACTTATAATGGCTGTTAGATAACATATTCCCTCATTAAGGAAGTTGAGGGTGATCAAATATTCACCTGAAAATGCACAAAACTGGTATTACCAAAGTGCTGGTGACTTGCAAATGGCTGGGCTCTTTTTTATATTCTCCAAATATTTACATTTATAATTAAGTCCCAGGTATTCACTACCAGCAGGTGTACTCATGACATGCATTATTCCCTCCTCCTTTCTACTCACTGTTCAAAGAGTTTTTGGTGCTAAAGCATTAAAGATGTAAGTTACAATAATTTATCTGTATTGATATAAATAAAATAAACACAGGTTTCCCATAAAACTATGATGAAGAAATTAAAAAAAAAATTTTTAAAAAATCAAGATACACAGTTTTATCATCCATATATACATTTCTGATGGTGACTATACAGTTCTGATAACGTACCTGTGAATGCTGTGCCATCATCAAGGGCCTGCAGATAGCCATCTTTATTCCCAACAGCTTCAAATCTCAGAAACAGTACGTAATCTTGTTTCAGTGATGAGTCATTTACTCCAAAGTCCCTTTTAAATCTTCTGTAAGAGTCACAATCTCTAATTACAAGATGGGGGGAAAAAACCCCAAGAAAACAAAAACCAAAAACACCTCAACCCCCCGCCCAAAAAAAAAGTTTTAAAAAATCAAGGCTTGTTTTTCATCATCCAGTCTGGCTTCTTTGCTGTTGGTTACAGCTTGAACAAATGATCTTTATACTTCCTTTCAGAAAATGGAACAGTAACAAATTTAAGCTCAAGAATATCTGTATGCTTATATACTAGTCATTTGATATCTTTTCCAGCCTACAAGTTTTCTAAACTAATATTACATGCATAATAATCACTTCTAATTAGAGTTTAAGTAAGGGAAAGGGCAAGAGCACATTTTCTTTTTCTTACGTGAAGAAGAAATGTTCCTTTGTGCTTACTTTTTTTTCAATGGAATGAAAGCTCTCCAAAATGTTTCAGTCTTTTGGTGATGAAATATATATATTGCCATAATGCTGCACATATACTATATCTTTATGAAATAAATCTGCAGTCATTAAAAAGGCACTTAATTTGACACTGTAGAACTCTCTCAACAATCTTTAGAGATTCAACATGTTTAATGGGAGCTACAATTAGTTCCCTTGGCAAAATCTAATCTAATAAAATTCTTGTTCTCACAAAACAAGCTTAACCAATTCTTGGTTCAAATACATCCTTAATATATTGTAAAACATCTCCTAGATAATCACTTCAGACTTTGCTTTCTCATTTGTGGTATCATGCCAAGCAATTTCTTTTAACACACAAATACATAAAAAGTCATTCAGAAAAAAATTTGCAGACACTTTAACTGCAAATTATTTTCTCTAACATAGCTCTTTACAGAAGAGTTTAGACCAATCAACTTGTGTGCATGTGTCTAATTTGGACCACTCACTTTGGACTAAAGCACAATGTAACCAATGATTTCTCATAAGGTTGCAAGGTTCCTTGGTTGGGAATGCACAAGATCAAGGTGGAAACATCTATATCTCTTGTTCTATTTTTGAGGCTCAAGTCTTGTAAAACAGCATCTGCACTCCTCTGAAGATCTGTCCCCTAAAAAATAATCAAAATATGGAATAGTTCAGCCTGTTCTGCTTCCACTTTTGTGTTTGGTGGCTTGTTTGGGGGGGGGGGGTTCCCCAATACATACATTTTGATATCTTTCACAAAAAAGTAGAAAGATATAATGTAAGTAATAGCACTAACATAGTTACATATCACATGGCTAATTAATCAATTTTTAAACATAAATTTCATGTCAATATTCTGAATTCCCTTTTTTAAGGATGATGCTCACTCAGATGATTTCACTGTCCAAGAAAAAAAAGTGAAACTACACATGCTTAACATCATAGAATACCAAAATATATTTTGATAATTCCTACTAAATTATAAGAAATCCAGTAGGATTTCAAGCAAATCCACTCAAAAAAAACAACAAACAAAAGAAAAAAAAAAAAAAACACCCAGGGGATGTACTTAACATTGTTAAGTTTAAGATGTCACATAGTGAAACAGAAATATCTGAAAAACTTAATTCCAAGGTTAAATTATAGTAAATAATTTGTTGGTTGGACAGAAGTTTCAGAAAGCCTATTGATCAGGAAATAGTATGACATAGTACTAGAAGATGAATGTTGAGTAACAAAAAATGCTAAAGCAGAAATGAGAACAAGTTTTTAACTAAAATAAAAGCTAGAATAGTTTCTTACCATCTCTCCTCCAATGGCATTGTCTTCCAGTACTGCTACCCAGTCCGTACACTCAGGACTTTCATTGTATAAAGATATTTGTTCAGTCTTTGAAGACCCAAAGTAAACTGGTCCAAAGTTAATACATTCCAATACATTTCCACAAGACACTCCTAGAACTTTAAGAACTCGTTCAACCACAACAGCTTTGATCCATACTTCAGTGCAGCCATGACCTTCCAACTCCACTCTGTCAGTAAGAGTAGCAAGCAGCAATAGGTAATGTAGAAAAGTGTTAGAAATAATTAGTTTGATTTATATTAGAACCTATGCAAAACTGAACCAAATCAGAACATTTAAATCACTGGCTTTCCATAGATAAACTAAGCAGGGAGGGGGCGGGGGTGGTTAGGGAAGAGTGTACTTGACAATGTGATACCTAACAGGAATATTACCAATCAGGAAGAATCACACAATACATGGTGAAGTTTTGGAGAGCTTTTTGAGTTTTTCCCCTTTTTCCTTTTTTAGTGTTTGAAACAATAGGAATGACATCTCAAAAGACTCAGAAGTCCACAGATGATACAGTGCTCTTATTTCTGAGAATCTTTGTATCTAGATACCAATTTCAGCGTATATTTAGTAATTTTGTCTTAGGCAACTGGAGCTAGAAGTTCATCTGAATAAGTGTAAAAGAACTGCTGCTGTTCCTGCCTGAATGCTTGGTTTTGATGATACCACAAAACACCAAAGGACTATATACACATTGTACAAATCTTTGTTATTAGAATTCTACTGGAACAAAGCATATTTGTTCTTGTTGCACAAAATCAAATTTAGTAATATAAGTTATTGTTCTAATAGAATCAACTAGCCTCTGAGCAAAAAAAACCCAAAAGAATAAAATCTTTGTTTTGAATAGTCACATATACAACTACACAAGGGATCTAGGAGAGGATCTCAAACTCTCTAAATATATCATCTTTCAACTTCTGAACCGTGATTAGGAGATTCTCCAAGACAGAAAAGAAATATCAAAAAAAAAAAAAAAAAAAAAAGAGTAGACTCCTCTGAAAAGCATTTTGCTTGCACATAGAAGAAAAATGCTTAGAGGACAAGGCAAATGGAAATAACCAGGGTGTTTTCATCAAAACTGTACTATTTCTCCAAGTCAAATTCCTGTCAAATACCCATCGTAAGACTTTCAGTATTACCCTGTTTTTTTAAATACATATACACACAAAGGTATACACATATATTTAGATATTCGTGCAAGGCTTGACAAGGAAACTTAAGATTTCATTTAGTCTAAAGGATATAGCAATGACTAAGAAATGCCAAATTCACTGACAGAATTATGTAGAATTTAAGGCAGGAAATGGCTGAAGGATGAAGTCCGAGCTCTGTGTAGTTATGTTCTTTCAGTTTAATAGATAAACTACCTACAAGACTGCAGGAGACAGTAGTCATTTAACCAAGATGGGGTGAAGAAAACAGTGGTGGTAGCCTGGACAGCAAAGGAAAGGCAGAAAGCATGACACTTTCCAACCAAAAGGTTGAAACTCAGTAACCAAAGAAAATATATGAAGGAGGATGTAACTGTGTGGCAAAATACAGATATTGTCTTGCCAGGCACTCTTAATAGAATTTTTCTCCTTTCCTTTCATTTTCTTTTCCAACAGGCTACAAAAAGCAAGAACGGCAAGAACTGAACTATTTAAGTCATATATCTTAATAAAAACAAAACAGGAAACACCCCCACCCTCTCAAAAATACCCAGCCACACCTTATTCACTATTATAAGAAAACAGGATTAAAAAGGACTTTCCGGATTGGTATCCACTTCCAAATTCTGGCACCTCCTAAAAAGTCTATATTCACCATTTGTAGAGAGACAAAGTAGGCATTTAAAAATAGTCTATTCTTAAAAGAGTTAGTGGTTGCAAATACATCCCCTCCATTTAAAATAAGATACACCAAAGGACATCATGTTTCTAAGACTTCTGAAACACAGAGCCAAAAGAAAAATAGCAAAGTTACAGAAGCTAAAAAGAGTAAGGAACACAGGATGTGTAGAAAGGTGAAGATACAAAAGCTCTTGGTTAGTTGTACACTGAGAGATGTGCAAACATCCATATCATTACAACTTATGAGAGGTCTTTAATAACACATCCAGGTATGCAATTTATGCATCATTGTTCTGTGGAGATAACATAATCATCAAATTGATTTAATAAAAATAAATGTGGAAGACAGCAACTGTCTTAACTTTTTTAAATAAACATGCACAATAAAGACTAGAATTAATAGCAGACAAAAACATAACTTATAAAGCTGGATTTCTTCAGTCATACACTCACTTTATCACTTCTTTGATGATTCTGGGTACATCTGTGCAGATATCCACTTTAACCTTCTTTATAGATTTCGGCTCTACCACTCCGCTAGTAGGTTCTATGTTAAGCAGGACAACACCATCATATGATATTTTAAATGCACCTAAAAGAAACAGAATAATACACAGCGTGTTACACAACATAAAGTTGTAGATTTATATTCTCCTATTACACATTTGGGATTACAAAACACATAATGCAGATATTCACAAGCAGTACATTTTCCTATGGAAACAGGAAACATGGAGTTAATCTTTTCCAAAACTCTCTCTAACACAGAGTAGATCATTATTTCCAAGGTTTCTTTAAATATTACACCCACATGTACAATGCCACTTCACAAGTTGTGATTGTAACAGAAAAGGTACTCGCATTCCAAACAAAAGAAGTTACAGAAGCTAAAAAGAGTAAGGAACACAGGATGTGTAGAAAGGTGAAGATACAAAAGCTCTTGGTTAGTCGTTACTATAAAGGCATATATATAACGACTATAAAGTCGTTATTATAAAGCAGCTGTAGGTAACATTTTGTAAGTTATATGCTATTTTATACACAGCTCCAGGCAGCTACCAAAGCCAGAAAGTTAACGGCATATTGCAGGTAACAATAGTTTTCATGATTTGGTATGTACACAACACGACTTATTGCAGGAGAGGACAGTGAATATTTCTAGGTTATAAAAATATTTTTTAAAATGTGACAAGATTATTAAATGTGTATTTAACCAGCAGCACTGATTATCTGTCATTATATCATAGATAGCAAGAAACTGTTTCAAATGTTGTAGGAAAAATGCACTGTTTGACCTCAGACAATAATCTCTGATATGAGATCAGAAGCAGGAACAAAGGACTCATTTTGTGCATGGGATAACACATGAAATGCAATCCTTGAGTCACAGGCCAGCATACAGAACTTCCTGCTGATAGTTTACATACTGCCTGTTAGTGCGACCTGCTGTATTACAATTTACAGAACCTACAAAAACACAGATTCAGCAGCTCTTCCTTTGTCTGCCCTCAATACATTCTTCACTAACCACCGATTTCATTCTAATTTTGCCTCTGTCCAATCCTGCAAAACTCCATCACGCAGCCTGCATGTATGATACAACAGATTTTATAACTAGAAACAGTTCCTGTACAACATGAGAAATTTTACATCATGCAAATTAGTTGTAGATGCATATGTACTGTAGGTTACCTCATTTTCTTTATCTAATCATAATTCCTCAAAGTAAGAAGTTAGTATGTATGAGTAAGAGTTGATTATATAAACTACATACTACACCTTTAAGTTGAGCGAGCTAGAAAAAAAAATGCCTTTTTTTGGAAAAAAAAATAAAAAATAAAATTCTGTTCTAAATAGACAGCCATTTGATTTTTTTTTTTAAATATATATTGCAACCCATTTCTATGTTTCTACAATCATGTATTTTTCTCTTCGTACAATATTTCTTGTGGAAATCTATGAAGCAAATGTTCACAAAACCTTGGCCTAATGCAAACACAGATACTTTGTGATATAATAAACAGCTGTACAAGTGAACAACAAAACCAATTAACTGCCTTAAATTTGTTGTTTGAAACTCAGCATAGTTGCCACCCTACTTCCAGAGAAAGGTGTCTGCAGCTTTGTCCAGTGGAAAAGGCAGTCAAATAGGTTACTTGGATGACATAAGCATTCTTACACTCCATTCTCCATGTTTCTTACGCTCCTTGGAAGGGTCCCTCACAGAAGTTGAAGGATGTGCATGTTTTGAAAGCTGTATGATTTCAAAAGCTATAGCAGCAATATCAGACCTCTCATTATCTTCTGGTAACAAATATGGTTCAATTCCCATCCTAGAGGACTTTAGCTCTGAAAGCACAGGGAGCTTGTAATTTATTTACTAGACAGCTATTGGGATCACAGAATCACAAAGACAACAAAGCAAGACCAGATGTGATTTACTATTATTTATGTTGAGCATAGTAAGCCAATGAGAAACTGTTACTTTTAGTTCTTTCAGGTGGGACTCATAAGTAGCAAACTCCTAAAATTTGGCAAAGTTCTAAATTCATTTTTCTTCCCTAAGTGGAAATATAATACTGCCTACAGAAGCAATGGGCCATTTATAACACCTTTAGCTACAACACTCATAATCTGCATAACCCAGAACTCCAGTTAATTTCTACTTGGCCACTGAAGTGTTAAATTGCATAAAATTACATTTGCCAAGGCAATAAAATATTTTTATAATTTAATCCATACTAAATATTTACCTGAAGATGATCCATGGTTAGCAATATTAATCTCTTTACTAATTATTTTACTGTTTGCAATCACTGCACCAAAATTAATGTCTGACTCAATTTCCAGATAACAGCACGGAATTAATCTGCAGAGAAAAGACATGGTTATATTTTCCTAAAACTTGAAAATACCTTTGTGTTTTTAAAGAAATTTGATTAAGCACTCCAGTGGAAGAGAATTCTCCTTTTCTCCTTGTTCTCCTACCAATGTTTATGCAACTCACTTCAGCAGTATAGAGTACACAGGGAAGGTGTAAAAGAGATCTAGCTATCTATCAAGCTGTTTACTTTAATGGCTATTTAGTGCAACATTAAAACAACATACCTTTAAACAACTAGTCAAAATGGAATGTATAAATTTCTGTTTAATTTCAAATACTTTATTGTAGTACAAAGAACTTTAAATAAAACTATCTTGAGTTAGTTGCATCACAAAATAAGACCAAAGTTAAACACTCACAATATTTCATTATTCTGCTGCCTGAACTAAAAGCAGAGGGAAAACATGCATGCCAGGTTCAATTTACAGTCTTCATGTTTGATAGATACTTTATGTGGTTTCAACAAAACTTACTATAACAGACAGAAGTGGATAATGACACAAGTTATTTGTATTATTTATTTAAGAGCCTCAACCAGCATGATGACATCACTGTGCTGGGTACTGCTTAGCTATAGTGAAAAGATCATACTCGCTTCAGGAAACTTGTATTTTAGAGGCTCCAATTTCTAATACAATCACACCTCTGATCTCACATAAAACTGTTTGATAACAATTGGAATTTTACATCAGCACAGCAGTCTATCTCCTCTTAACCACAAACAGGAACACGCAGGAACAATTGAATCTCATGATCTGCATTACACGCGGTAATGAAGACTAAATGGAGCAGGAAGATAAATCTCCTTGGCTGAGCTAGCTAGACCCTGCCCATATAATCCACTGCAAAAGGGAGGTGGGGAGCAGGAGGGAAAGGAAGGGAGACAGGGGAAAACAAAAAAACAAATTAATCAGGAAATGCAACAAAAGAAATTGCTCTTGGGAATGTTAATACACTGTTTTTAATTCTCTTTAATAATTTATTGTAATGCAAAAAAAAAAATTAGTAAATTCTTGGAAGAGATGGTCCTGACCAAAAGGATGCAGAAAAAAAACCACAACAAACAACAAAACAATTAAAAAAAACAAACAAACAACAAAAAAAATACCAGGAAACTGCTATCAAGATTAGAGTACACTTGCAAAGACTGTAAAAACTTCACATGTTCCAAGTATTCAGACATTCTTCCAAGAAGCTTTGTTAGAAAAATGAAACACAAGTATCTCTCCTCTCAAGATCCAAACATATAAACTTCCCAAGTGGACAAGAATAAGCATAAATTCTAACTGCAGTGAGATTTTTTAATAGGTACTGACCTGTGGAAAAAGACAGATAGTCAAGTTAAAGGTTTGGGGGTTTGTTTTTTAATACAGGGTGGGGTTTGTTTGGTTGGTTTAATTTGCCGGTTTGTATTTGGTTGGGGTTTTTTTATGAAGATGGAATTTACCCCTGGAAATGCCTAATTTCAATGTTTTCTTAATATTTTTTAAAACAAAAAAGAATTCTTAATTACTATATTTCAAAAAAATTTTGGATGCAGAGTTTCTGTTAATGATTTAAAAAAAAAAAAAAAAAAAAAAAAAAACCCCACCACTACTCAACCGCAACTGGCTTGTTTGAAACACATTCCCAAACCTTGAGTATAAGTATTTTCTATGGCCATCTAATATTTACATAACTAAATCATTACACTTGTATTACTGAGCACATCATAAATCCATGGTGCTGTAGAGATTAAGCTAAGAATGTTGTTTTGTCTCCAAAACTTATATCAAATACATGAGCCACAAATCAATATGATTAACCACTGGATCTAGTCTCATGAGTCAGGCAAACACGTAACAGCTATTTTACTTGCAAACCAAACAACTGTGATATTAATGTCACTAAAGCACAATAGAAATAAAATTCTTTTGGTGGCATTTTTTACCAAATAAATGGTTACAAAAATAAGTGTTACTGCAGTTTAATGTTGTATGGGAAACTAACCTTGCCTACACTCTCAATGAATCTCATCCCAGACTAAAGATTACCTTAAAATGAATACTAGATGCGATTGAAAGAATCACAGAAATTATTGGCAAAAAGTTTAAATCTTTTCATGCTTTTTCCTAAACCACCAGTGAAGCTTTCTTTCAATAAAATTCTAGGGACAAAACATGCAGACCCACAATTTCTACAAATTCAGTGTGAATTACATATATGTACATATTGGCCTAAAACCCATACAGAAATAAAGGCTGAAAAACAATATAAGTTCAAAGAAAGAAGACTACAAAAAAGCTAACAGGTAAGAGAGAAGTAGCAGACATTTAAAGAGGCCAGTCTGAGTAATATCAGCAACTTCCAAATATTTCTTATACAATAACACATTATCTTGGATTATATTTATGAATTTTCTGAACTTCTTGTCACATGCTTTAAAACTTAATTCTGTTTTGCAGATGTGCAACTCTTCAGATATATTGCCAATACACTATCTGAGTGACATTCACCAGAGATAATGAAAATAAACACTATATTTGAGTTGGCCAAAAATCAGAATTTGTTGCTGATAAGAGATTTTTTGTGTGTCAAAAAATATATAGCAATCTGATGTATATCTAAGCATAGCCTCAACAATTTTTAAAATCACTTATTTCAATTCTTGACATTTTAGAAAAAGTAGCATTAGTGTTTACATTATTATTGATACATCAGTAGAAATAGTATAACATTATTAAAAATGTAAAAAAATGCACAAACTTTTAAATAGGAAGTGAAAAAACCCATATCAGAACTAAATAAATTCGGGGGAAGGGGGACGTCTGTCCTTCAAAACAGAACATTGCAAATATTTCCCTGAAAATATTTTCAGGTTGTTCCACCAAATTAAACACTTTCGTGGACATTTCATAGTGATAATGCAATTTTTATCAAAAAAAAAATCTTTTGCCTAGTAGTTCTCAACCAGTGTTACACTATGTACATTATTTTCTCAAAATGGTTAATGGTGTATTTTAAACTATGTTTGTATGGAAAAATATAACATGTATTTAGTGACCCTTCAGTGCAATAATTGATCATCATCTATCTATAAACAGCAGACATGCATTACACAAAATACATTAGGAAAAAGACTGATTTAAAAAGAATCACAAAGTATATTTGTTTTTTCCAAACAAGCAAAAAAAATTATTGTAGCCTGTCAATTTTTTTCCCTGCAAAAGCCAGTTAAACATGAAGATTTGAAATACTTAACAATCTAGTGCAAGTCCTTTCCAGAAAGGAGTCACCAATAGCATTATCACCCTAAGTGGTCTTACCTCCACAATACTACCTTAATAAAATCTAAAAAAAAAAAAAAACCAAAAACAACACCAAAAAAAAAAAAAAAAAAAAATTAAAAACATAAAAAAATCTAAAGTGTTCCCTAATCACTTTTTTCTTCTAGGAAAATACAGATTGGGAGAACATATTTAGAGACAGCTATCTTTAATAGTAAAACAATCATATTGAATTACTAAGTTCTGTATTTACCTTATGAAAAGTCATCCCTGTCTTTCAGCCAAAGAAAAGCATTTAGGGCTTTCCATTTAAATTTCTCTGAAGTTAATTAAAGAAAGCTATAATAGCATTGTTTAATACCATGGTCTAAGAGAATAAGAGTTTACAAACACTACAGAAAAAAACCCAACTAATTGAAATTGTTATTTCCAAGTCTTCCAATGGTAGACAATCAGACTTAACTATTTGTGTTCTACATTAACAAGAGTACAACATTAAAATAAAAAAATTCCCACAACTTTTAAGATTAAATGAGGAAAAGCAAATCAGCGAAAAAGATCATGACATAACAGGTAAACAAAATGTAGGAGTAAGCATTGCTTATCTGAAGGCAAAACCTTACACATTTCAGGCTAGCATGAGACATTTGTGGGATTGCTTGATTTTTAAAAACAACTCACATACTGAAAAATCTCCACGGAATTTCCTTTCTGTCTGTACATGTAATTTGTAATGTCAAGATTTTCATAAAACCTATGATTTGCAATAGTTTATGGGATTCATCTGTCCTGATTTAAGCATCTAAAAGCTGGACCTGTAAACAGAAGTTTGTCATTCTAATTTACCTTTATAGACAAAGGAGAGAAAGGTACTCCAGAGCAATTTCCCCTTATCCTCACATAACCACCTAGGCTAACTCTGATAAACTATATTTAGAAGCTTCCTTTTTCCAACTAATATATGTTACATACAATATACGAGACATATATCCATATACACACACATAGATAGGCACGCACAATCACACACGGATTGATGAAAATGATCCTTCAATGTGTGACCTTATTCTAAAACACACACCATATTTTTAGAATTAGGCAACATATGTTTCACTATAATACAGTTTTGCAAATATGGACAATCTTTTATATAAGTGGTTCAGTAAGGGGGGAAGACATTAAGAGTAGATGTTAAATTGTCTAATGTTGATACAGAAGTGGAAATTATCAACGTTATCACAACCAACTTAGAATAAAGCAAAAACAAAAACCCAAACTCTCTCTAGGATCTTAGAGGGACATAACCCCAATTAACTTCTTACCTGTATGCTGCGGGGGGGGGGGGGGGGGCAGGGAATCTTACTTTTGTAAGGAAACCTACTATTTGTTTTCAAGGCAACTGACAGATTAATTACATAGCCATAGGTGACATGTATTCGCAAACTTTCCATAAGATTGAACTGCAAATAGTAACAGCAGGATATGAACTTTTGACCGTCATACCCAAGCAGGGGGATATCAACTATGTCATCTTCTATTAAAAGAAGTAGTCTATCTTGAAGATCTTCTTCACTCTCAGGATAATATTCCACAACAGCTGTAACTTGAAGTCCAGATGCAACAGGTTTTTCTGGATTTTCCACAATCAGTTTAAACTGCAATTTAAGAGAACATTTTTTTTTTTAAATTGTTAAACATTTCTAGATTAAAAAACATATACATGTGGCTCATTTTCAGAAGAATATGCAGACTGATTTAAAATTCACAACCAATTTTAAAATATGCAGGATTTATAAAATTTTTTTTCCTATTTACTGAAGCCCAGACTTTTTACAGTGAAACAGAAAGACACAATGAATACTAATGCATCAAATTACATGGAAGAGTAAATATCATTTCTAGTCTTTCAAGAGAGCTTTTCCTACCATTGCAATAAACCTTCTAAAACAATACAAAATTAACTCAGCTACTACTCAATGCAGAATCTTTTTAGTACCTGAGAAAGGAATAAGGATTAAGTCTCAGTCCAAAGCAGCAGCAAAAGGAGACAGCATAAGAGTTTTCTCTAGGTCTGACTGACATTCAGCTGACATCAACAGAAAGTCTCACTGTACATTGAAAAATCTGCTTGAAAGGCCCATGGCACCTCCAATTTTGGGAGTCAAATGAAAGAGAAAAAAAAACAGAAGCAGCTGACAGAAAGCACCTTTTTCATCTCTCAAAAAAATAATTCTGGATTTGTTGTTGTCTGTAAGCATCTACTTATATCCAACACCTCCTGCCCATCTTTCCTTGAACAGTATACATGAGTAACCTACTAGCATGTAGTGGGAAATCCAGCAGTTCCCACTTTCCTAGAAAAGCCTCACAGCAAGGTCTAGAGCCTCTCTGGTGTTTCAGTCTCCTTACGATTCACATCACTCTATCCACAATATGTTTCTGCTCTATATGTCCATTTTAATTAATGCTTATTTCTGAAAGAGAGTCATGCCAGTATTCTTTAAGTTTTCTGTTCTAATTTATGTTTGAAATATGCAAACATCTAATTTACTATTTGTTGATTCTATTGTCTGCACACCTCCTTTATTCCCTTATAATTTTCCTAGCAGTATAAACACTCAGCTAAAGGAAATTTGTTATCTAATATGCACTGTGATTAGGGGCTTGACTTTGAAAGAGCAGCCATGTTTTAATTTTGAACTGTGCAAAACTGAACTCTTCTCTAAAGAGAATTAAACAGCCAAGCATATTCATTCTCTACAAGGGAAAATTAATATATCGTACTATGAATTTTTAATGAAACCTATGGAAAACTGCTTTGTAAGCTAAATTCCTTGAAAGCCATTTCTTGGCCATGCACTATGACAGCTCAAGGAAGGTTATTTTTCAGTTCTTGCACTCTATGAATGTATGCCTCGGAAAATTTACAGATGAGTCATATACTTCAGAGCCATCTAATCGCAGATAGCAGCACAGGGTCTGGGAATGAGAAAGGGCAACACAACAGACCTTTCAGGAATGGAGCATGTGAAGTGAAATTTTGTCCCCTAACTGTCATATTAGTCATCTCATGCACAATAGCATTAAAATACTTGGCAAAAGGCACGAGATACTCACAGAGGTAAAAACTCAGAAGTTATGGTTGAATAACCTTTTCTCTTTTCTAGAACTGGCTCTGCCTTTCCAGCTCTGGAGCACATGAAAAATTGATAAGGCTGATGAAAACTAACAAAACAGAATAAGCACAGCCTTACCAGATCAAGCACTCTCAACAGTTTCCAGCTCGTTCCAAAAATCTTCAGTTACAGTGTAATAAAAATCAAGCTGTCTACGTCATGCAAATTAGCAAATTTTAGGGTGAGATAAAAGGCATACACAGTCTTGGCCACTCTTGACCTCAGAAAGAAAGGCTGACTACACAGATAGTGAAATTATCCAAGGTACTTCAATTGTCTGACAATCATTTTAATGACTACCCTGGAATATACTTATTCACAGTTCAAGTTGCTGTGAATACAAAGCAACACCAGCATCTGTTCCACCCCCAATGCCAGTTCAACCCTTCGATCCTGATTTTGACATAATTAACAGATAATAAACTAGCTAGACGAAAGAGCAACATAAAACTACTAACCACAGCCGGGTTTTGCTGGACCCACATACGTTAAAAGTCAAGGGCTAAACTGGTTACAATTGTAAAGATGCATTTGCCTTTAAAAAGTCTGACTATGCGATGATTTTTCCAGAACTAATCAGATGCTATCAACAGTAATCATACTATCTTGAGAAAAGACTGTAAACCCCTCTTTTCCAAGAGAGCTCTCTGCAAGCAAGCACCACAAATGCACTACTACACTCAAAAAACTTAGAAACATACAATACAGAAATGAGGTAACAGAGCGATCAATCAGCCCTATGGAAATCCAAGCAAAAACAATTTCAAAAGTTGTTCCCTTCAGCTGATCTGGAACACACCACGAGTTTGGTGTTCACACCATAGCAAAGTGAGCCATTTCTACATAATGCTCCCTGAAGTAACAAGGAACTCGTGGGCTTCTTGAGGGATAAATTTCTGGAGAGTGCAAAGCCAGCCAGTAAAGCTAAGCAGGATTTGTTACCAGCAAGGGACATGTAGTAAGACATACAAGAAAGCTAATTTACTTCCACAGAAACTACGGGTTTAACAAACAAGGAAGCTCTCTTCAAATTGCTCATGACCTCAGGAAAATACAGAACTGGGAAGGCTGGGGTTCATTTCATTCTGACTTACAGACTTCAAACGAGCAGCCTCATCTGAAGCTCTATATGAGAACATTTTTCAAGTATCATAGAAATGAGACCTACACATTCTCACAAGAAAACAATAAACCAAGACTGGCTTCCTCCTTCTGAACTGTCACACAAGAAGCAATTCAGACAACTTTGGCTCTAAGAATTGCCTCTTATTCTTTCCAGTTTATCCAGCTATTCAACTATTTTAATTTCCAATTCACCGGCAAATTCCAGTCAGTTTCATAAGCTGCTCAGACAGTCCATGGTAGCATTTTCCATTCGCAGTAGCTAAACGCAGACAAGCATTTACACCTGCCCAAGCAGCCTCTTACACAGGACCTACCTAGCTGGGCAAACCTGGGGGCAGACATTCCCCCGCAAAACTGCAGGAAATAAAAGCAGGGCCTCGAGATGCACTTTTCCTCTGGCAATGTTCTGCACCTCAAGGAGGGCCTGGGAACCGCAAGGTGAGCGGGCTGCGTACCGGTTCCTCAGGGCAAGCCCTGGAGGGAAGGATACAGACCCGCAGGACCCACTCGTGAAGGGTGTTCTCATGAGGCGCTACCGTTATTCACGCACGCTGGAGCGGTGCGAGGTGCTGCACGAACAAACACAGAGCCGACAGCTGACTCGTAGGGAGAGGCAAGCCTCGACGACGTTACACCCGCCCGGCCGGGCCGGGGGCTGTGGGGGCAGACGCTCCCCGCCGCTTCCCTCCCGGCCACCCCTCACCTGGGGCCGGTGCGGCGGCAGCAGCTGGAGACGACAGCTCTCCACCCGCCCGTTCTGGACGCTGAGGGCAGCCCGGTAGCGGCCCCCCGGCACCGCGTCCCTGAAGCACACTTCAGCCGGGGCGATGCGGACCCCGGCCACGTCCCGCCACCCACCCGCCATGGCGGCCGCCGCCTCAGCTGGGCGATCAGCGCGGCCTGGAAACGATCGCTTAGCAACGGACGCAGGGCGCTAATTGGACGGAAAAGAGCGGCGCTTCCGAACCCACCAATCGGAAGAGGAGAAATCGGGTAGAGGCGGGAGGGGGGCGAGCAGCCCGGCTCGGCTCGGCTCGGCTCGGCCCGGCCCCGCGGTCCCGTCGGGGTCCGGGCGTCCTCGGCCGCGCCGTGTCGTTGCCCAAAGGAAGGGATTTTTAGCTCGAAGCTGTGGCTTTTCCTTGCGGTCTCCCCAGGGGCGCAGGCTGAGCCCGCCCTTTTACGCTTTCACACTCTGCCGCCTCAGCAGGTGCAGGGGGCCCCGGTAGTCAGGGCCGTTGGGGCAGGGGGGGGGCCGCCATTTCATGGGCACCAGGTCGGGCAGGAGCTGGAAAGAAATTTAAAAAAAAAACAGACCCGCTGGCTTTTTGGAAGTACGCCAAAATGGCCACATCCCATTGGCCTGCCTTTACCAGTAAAGAGATACCTGAGGCCTGCCATGGGGCTCCGGCTTGTCCAGCGTGGTCCCTCTTGTTCACCTGAGGTGTTTTCTGCTCTCCAGCAGCGGCCCGGGACAGTGAAGGACAATACAAACGTGGATGTTCTTCCTGCTCTGGGTTTCTTACGGTAAAGGTGGATTAACTTGAAATAAAAATGACCTGATTCCTCTTCTGGGCGTGCGTGTTAATCACAGACGTGGTCTACACAGAACCACAGCAGGGCACTAACGCGCCTGTTTGTTGGTGGGAAGCTCAGTGTCTGCGGTGCCAGTGACTACGCTAATAATTCATTGCATACATTTACTGAGTGGTGAAAGATGTGTTCCTGTTCTGTATCCCTATGCTGTAATTTAAGTGGTAAAATGAAGCTGACAAGAATCCAGCACTTAGGCAGACTTGGAGGATAATGGGCGATGTGCTTTGCTTCAAAATAGCAGAAGCAAGGAGGGGGAAAAGCACGCACAGCATGCACACAGAACCTCAAACATCAGTTTTGATTAACCCAAAATGTTTTGCCTTGGATTACTTCATCCCTTGAAAGTGCATGAGGACTCAAATTATTTGTATTTTAAAAGTCAAATGTGAGAATCTGCAAACATGGTGGTACAGGATCAGGAGAACTACCAATGTACAAAAAAGGGCCAAAAGCCTATGTTTAATGGGTCAAGAAACCTAGAGGGAGCAAGGAGAGAGGAGAGCCTTTGTGTCTCTTGCTGGGGAAGGATGCTAACAGGTCTTTTTGTCCCTCTTAAAAATTCGAGTGATAGCTACCCATCTGTAGATTGCTGAAGAATGAGTGAGAATATGACATTGCAAGCGCTGATGGTAAAATCCAGGCATCTGAAGGGAGTTCTTTGGGATGACTACTTGAATCTGTTTTATGGTAACATGATTGTACTTAACTGACACACACAAAAAAAAAAAAAAAAAAGAAGAAAAAATTAGAAGAGAAGATTACCTTATCAAAGAATTAAACTCCCTTTGCTTTTTCACTAGAGAACGGAGAATACTCCTACATAGTTTCTCTGATCCTTGAATGAATTCTTGAGGAAAGTCAAGAGACGTAAGATAAGACCTAAGAAATATCTGATCCAAAGAAAGAGAAACCTTTGAAACTTTACACAGACATCATGATGGTGCCAAAAAGTCACAAGCTCATTAGTTTATCTTACTTTGGGTTATTCCTCAGTTTTCACATCAAAGCAACGTGGAAATGTTCTGTCTTTCTGATTACATATTCTAGTACTTGGAAATAATCAAATTCAAAAGCGAAGAACTAACTAGTTCAGAGAAAATGTCAAATATGTCACTTGTTATATACTATGTCACAGCAAAGTAGTCAGTCACAAATTTATTTTTTCCATTCCACTGAGAATTGTAGGAACATTGTGATGGGTTAACCCCAGCTGGATGCCAGGTGGCCACCAAAGCTGCTCTATCACTCTCCCCCTCAACTGGACAGGGGAGAGAAAATATAACGAAAAGCTTGTGAGTCATGATAAGGACAGGGAGAGATCACTCACCAATTACTATCACAGGTAAAACAGACACAACTTGGGGAAAATTAATTTAATTTATTGCCAATCAAACCAGAGCAGGGCAATGAGAAATAAACCCAAATCTTAAAACACATTCCCCCCACCCTTCCTTCCTTCCCAGGCTTAACTTCACTCCCAATTTCTCTACCTCCTCCCCACAGCAGCTCAGTGGGACGGGGAATGGGGGTTGGGGTCAGTTCATCACACGTTGTCTCTGCTGCTCCTTCCTCCTCAGGGGCAGGACTCCTCACACTCTTCCTCTGCTCCCACAGGAGACAGTCCTCCATGAACTTCTCCAATGTGTGTCCTTCCCACGGGCTGCAATTCTTCATGAACTGCTCCAGCGTAGGTCCCTTCCACAGGCTGCAGTCCTTCAGGCACAGACTGCTCCAGCATGGGTCCCCCGCAGGGTCACAAGTCCTGCCAGAAAACCTGCTCCACCGTGGGCTTCTCTCTCCACGGGGCCACAGGTCCTGCCAGGAGCCTGCTCCAGCGCGGGCTTCCCACAGGTCCCAGCCTCCTTCAGGCATCCCCCTGCTCCGGCGTGGGGTCCTCCCCGGGCTGCAGGTAGAGATCTGCTCCACCGTGGACCTCCCTGGGCTGCAGGTGGACAGCCTGCCTCACCATGGTCTTCCCCACGGGCTGTAGGGGAATCTCTGCTCTGGTGCCTGGAGCACCTCCTCCCTCTCCCTCTTCACCAACCTGGGGGTCTGCAGGGCTGTTTCTCTCATGTATTCTCACTCCTGTCCAATACAAACATTTAATATTTTTAGCAAAACTATTAGAAAGAAAAATTGCTTATGATTTTTCATTTCAGATCAGACCTTGCTGGAGTACAAGAGGATCCTCAGAAGGTTCCCGCCCTCTCTACTCCTTCTGACCTTCTTAGTGTCCTACATTCCCATCTGCCTCCTAGTCAGGTCACTAGCCTTCATTCTGCTAACTGAGCTCCATGTGGGGCTATATAATAAACCTGACCTGTGAAACAATCCAGGGTAAAAGCACTCATACATGCTTCTCTTTTTTGGTGTCATTGGAGGAGTGTTGTCTTTAAGCAAGATTATTTCTCGGTCTCAGTTTAGAGCTCTATTTCATGAACAGTTGAAGAAGCACTATTGACAGGATGCTAACTTTGTGAGTGGGGGCTGGAGCAAGCAGCAGAGACAGAAATCTTTAAAAATCACTTCTGTCATAAAAGAATTAATAGCAAAGAACAGTGCCCTATTCTCACTTGATTCGATGTAGATATGTCCATACAAAATTTTTATCAATTTAACTAAATTTTTTAAAAACAAATTTTAACTGTGATTTAGCTTGTGTGTAGAGGAGCCAAGTTCTGCATTAAAAGAATCCTGATCTCTCTGAAATAGTTTGGCTAGGCTCTCCTCCTCTTCTGCAGATCGTTATATCCAAATGCTTACTATTGCCATCATTATGATATCTCATTATGAAACAACATTAGATAATGGACTCGGCTCCTTCCTTTCCTCAGCTTATGCTGGCTTCATAAAATTTTTTTATTAGTCACCTAATAATCATCCCCAAAGAGAAAACTATTGTAAAGGAACAGGCGTACTTTGTTTTGATGACAGAATCCTTCGTAACTAGTGCTAGCGTATGGATTATGCATATTCTTTCTCCTTTATCACTAAATCATATGACCACATTAAGAGTGATTTTTACTTCTGCAGAAATTCATGCTATTTTACAGCGCAGTAAGCTGTACAATTCACATTGCATTCACCTTAGCAGTATCAGATGATGAATAATAAAGCTTCACAGCAAACTTCTCAAAATTGTATTATAGTCATCGGAGTGAAGAGTATAACCTTATATAAATCTCCACCACACCTCAATGTCTGAGTCACTTCCAACTTTTATAAGCCAGACTTTCCAGACCTGAAGCTTGTTTGACTATCCACTGATCTGACTATCCTCCCAGGTTCCAGCCAGAAAACCAGGATAGCATCATTAGTTCTTTCCATTTAATAGGTGAAGATAATTTGTTTAAAATGAAATAGCCCCCAGCTTGTTCAGATCTATCCTGGGGCCATGGCCAGTGTCAAATGAGATGCAGAA